TAGATGCTGCCTCGTTTCGCTCGTTACGTTATCTGCTCCTCGGTATCAATGCATTCTCGCTATCACCGTATAGATCCTGATGGATGTATATGGAAACCCCGTCCATGAATCGCTCCCGTATAAATGATTACTGGGGATGATGTATCGAAATCGAAAATGAAAAAGTACCTCTCATGAAGACCGAAGCAGTTTAATAAATTGACGTCTCACCCGATGGGAGGTCCGCGCTTCTTAGAGAAAAGCGGCTGAAAAAAGACACCCTTGACCCGAGGTTCCATAAAGATAGACGGGCACTCAGCTCCACATGCTAAGGAAACGGCACGTCCTCCGCTACAAAGCCTTTAGAAGTGGCGCGTCTCCCATTAGTCATCGAGGTGGGAATTCGGCACGGCTGCTCTATCAGATGAACGCTCGGGCCGCCCTGGGCACGCGAACCTCCTCAGAAATGCCGGAACCATCGCGATAACCGACTCGGCTCCGAATTGCCTCTCATTTCCGCCCTGTTCAGGTGCCAGGATTAGTGAGTGGCCGCGATCGGGCGGAATATTAAACGGCCGGCACCGGCTGTTTGTGGCCGGCCGGGCCGGTCTGTGGTCAGGTCAGACCCGTTCCCAGTCCTGTCAGGCCAGGTCAGACTGGGCCGTGTCCGGGTCGGTTCAGGTCAGTCCGGGTCAGTTACGGCCAGTCCTGTCAGGTCAGGTCAGACTGAGCCGTGTCCGGGTCGGTTCAGGTCAGTCCGGGTCAGTTACGGCCAGTCCTGTCAGGCCAGGTCAGACTAGGCCGTCAGTGTCCGGGTCAGTTACGGCCAGTCCTGTCAGGTCAGGTCAGGTCAGACTAGGCCATCAGGTGGGGTCAGTGACGGCTAGTCCTGTCAGGTCAGGTCAGACTAGCTCGGCTCCATACGGGTCAGTCCACAGTGACCCGGTTAGGCTATTGGTTACCTATTGGTGAGGTGGGGTCGGTTCCGCTGGACCCTGGTAGGGACGCTGGGGGCCAGTCAGTGGTTCGAGGTCACCCGGAGAGTCCTTCCGCTGCGTCTGATGGGAGGCACTGCTCGGTGCGTGCCCGGCGCCGGCCGACCACGCCGCCAATCAGATCAGATCGGCGCGCGAGGTCACACACAGACAGACAGACACACAGACCGGCCCACCTAAACGCGGGAAGCGCGGCCGTCACGGGCGCAGATGTCGCCGGGGTCAGGGCCGATCAGAGTCAGCGGGACGGTGGCACTTTGAGTGGCGATTCAGCCACTGCGCGCCCCGCCCCGGTGCTGTGTTGGCCTGCCGGACCGGAGGAGGCTGGGTGGCCGCGGCGGCCCATCACCGTCGTTCCGTGCCTGGCGCCGCGGCCGGCCGGTGACACGCTCTGCCGACCAAGCCGTCACCGAGCCAGCCGAGCTTGTTAACAGTCCCACACACTCTGGCTGCGGTGTCGGTCCCAAATACGGCCCTGTGCGCCGCGTGGGGAGTCGAGCACCTGCGAGCTGAACGCCATCCGACCCAGCCTGTCAGCCTATCGAGCGCGATCTCCATACACCCGTTTTCAAGAGCACCCGATATTTTAATCGCTGTTCTACGACATAGGCGAAACTATGCTCTGATATTCTCGTCCCAAAGAAGGTCTCGTCAAACAAAATACAAAGTGAGTCTAGGAAAACGGTTCTTTGTTCGGTTGTTTCGGGTATCGGCTGGATCCGTCCTCCAGAGATTCTATGTATTTAATCATCGTTTGTGTGTGTGTCGCTGCTGGGGAGTGGTTGGGTCAAAAGTTCAGGGTAGATTAGTGAGTCCAATAGTTTTGGTGGTTGGACGATAGGTAGGTAGTGTTCTTCGGCCTTTGGCATTTAATTATTTTGTCCGTTAATCAATCATCGCATTTCGTAGCAACAGGGCTGCGGAGTCGGAGTCGGAGTCGGAGTCGGTCGGAGTCGACAGTTTTGACCGGAGTCGGAGTCGGAGTCGATTTTAGAAACCCGAGCCGGAGTCGGAGTCGGAGTCACCGAAAATCTGTCGACTCCGCAGCCGTGCTAGGTCTGCGGAGTCGGAGTCGGGAGTTGGAGTCGGTCGGAGTCGACAATTCTGCCCGGAGTCGGAGTCGGAGTCGGAGCTGGTTTTTGAAAGCCGAAGTCGGAGTCGGAGTCGGAGTCGCCGAAAATCCATCGACTCCGCAGCCCTGCGTAGCAATAGCTGTGCTGCCGAAATGATTTTTTTCCCGCGTTTCTCTGAATAATAACTGAAAACTGCGTCCATACAAATTAAGGTTAATTGTAATTTGGATTGTCTGCCCTCTGCATTTTACAAGTACCGTGCACTGCTGCCGGTTTTAACATATAGCCTGGCTCATCGGATAAAAACACAAGTAGTCGGCATGTTAGATGCGGTGCATGCAGATGCATGTGATGTTCAGTAGCACGGTTTTTAGTGATCTGTTGTGTCTTTTTTTGCATAGCATCACACATGATGAGCGATACAATGAACATTTCAACTATGTAGAAGTAGTCGCTATCTTCTGCGGTTTAAAACTCTTGGTTTTGCTCGGTGCACTGTCAGACGGTAGGCTGCCTGGTAACATTTACACAGCACGACATGTTTGTTCAACATAGCCGCCTCAGCGGCTCTCGCATTGACGGAATGCATTTTTATCAACATGCTAAGCTGATGCAGTTCATTTCTTGGTCACCGGCTGCCTTCAGAAGCATAACAGCACAGCCTGTTCAGTTAACCTTTTTTTACTTTATCCGGTCTGAAGTGTGAATGGCCGCCAGATGTTTTTGTACTCGTCTTCCGGGGCTATCTGATGCTCTGTCGATCTACGCTACGATTCGTGGCGAGCTGTTTCACCGGGTCAGGACGGCCGGGTCAGGACCGCGGGGTGATGGCCCGCGATCGCTCGCCCCTTTGAGTTGCGGCGGTGTCCGTCCGGTTTCCTGGGTCTCGCTGTTAGCCTGCATACCTACGCAGCTGTGTGTTGACGTTCCAGCCGGCTCGCTGGCGCGGTGGCGATGGCGCTTCGCCACTGTGGGCGTTCCGGGCCCGGCCGGCCGGCTGTTGTCACCCCGGTGGGCCGTGGGCCGGTCCTTGCCCCCGTGCGCGCTATAAAACCCACTCGTCAGTCGGGCTGGCTGCTATCTCGGTAGTATCGCCTGCAGCGGCCGGGGTGTTTGCAATGTCGCCGACGTCGCACAGCTGCATTGTGCGCGTGCGAGGGACGCCAGCACACCGCGCGGGCGGTCGCGGACTGCGACTACCGGGCGGCGCGGCCGCGTCGGCACCGAGGGTCTCCTGCATACCTGCAGACCTGTCCCGCGCGACACCCACGGCGGCTGTGACCTCTGAACTGGCCCGACCGCGGCGCCGAGATGTCTGCGGGCCGACAGGTGCTCTGTGTCGGACGCCACGGCGCCGGAGCGGTCTGACAGCACCGAGTACAGCACTGACTCTAAACGGACAGTTCTGTCACCCGCAGCTGTGCTGCGGCCGCCCGCGATCTGCACTAAATCTCCGCACAGATCGCTGCCCGTCGGTTCTGTCCGCCGTGCCGGCTAATCTCAATCTATCGCGCATTGGTTCCTCCGCGGCAGAGACCGACCGCTGAATGTGACAGTCGCAGCGGCGGACTGAGCCGAGTGCCTGTCATCGGGCCGAAATCCGCGGCCGCCCCAGCGCGTCAGATCGGTCAGTTCCGCGTCGTGTTATCTCACGCGTTACGCAGCCGGGCAGGGCAGGAGCGGCTGGACCAGGTCCGCCGGCGGTCGTCGTATCACCCGCGCGACCTCGCGCCGCTCCAGTTGGTATTCACCTGGCGTCAAGGTGACTGCGCGCCGCCCCGGGCCCGCTTCCGTAAAAATAACCACTCGACGCCAGCAGGGCGACTAATTTATCGCCCCCGATGTCAAGCACGTAATTGGGTTTTATGCGTGTGGGGGCCGGGGCAGCGCACGGCGTGCCCCTCTGGTAAGTGCGGCCGTCAATGGCTAACTGCCGACCTCGACCCGCAGCCGACCTGCTCAGCGCCCAGCCCCGGGCCCGTGGCGGGCTCTCAGAGACGCCCGAACTGCTCAGTGCTCAGCCCCCGGGCCCGTGGCGGGCTCTCAGAGACGCGCCCTGCAAACAGATGATTCCATTGAAATGCTACTTCCACCTCTAACGAGATCATTTGCTGTGATAATTTGAGTTTCGAACTAGGACATAATAAGCTGAAATAGGCATCGGTTATAAATGTGCAGAGGACAGTCTTTGCCATCAAATGCCCGTATCGCTTGAACTTTGCTGAAACACTACATTGACAGTACGAATATGGAGAAGCCTGCCATGCGCGGCAGTCGTTTAGAGTCGGTATGAGTATGCCGTCTCGACCAGCAGATAGAGGCAGACCTATACACTGGTGTAGGTACTGCAAGGGCGCGGTCACCGGGGCCCTGAATCGGAGACCGGTCCGGTCCCAGCGGTTACCGTGACATCATGCGCCGCGGAACTGGCCATGCGGCCAATGTCGCGGTGGCTGTATATTTCGTGGTCAGGTTTTTATCGGTGGGGACACGATTGCTACATTTGCGCGACAATCGATACAGCTATGTGAATTCCTTCCACTTTTCCTATACACGACCGTTTATTTGACAAGCTAAATGCTTAGCTAGACTGTCTGATAGCGCCAACTGCAAATGTTGCTACCGGGAAAGTGGAGGATGATTTATAACAAATCGTGCATTTAAATGTCGCCCTTATGCATATATACAATGCATTTGCATGAATGAACCACTTTATCCCTTTTTTCGTTTAAGCTTCCTAGCGATATGCGCCTTTATAATTGATAGACATGCTGAACACCTGTAATTGGCCATTAAAAGATGGTGCTACATGCTATACATATAATGTCATTAATGAAAAATAGGTTGTGAAAGGTATTCGATGGTATATACGATATGTTGTGCCGTTTCAGCGGTGAGACGCTGTGTGTGATGCCGTTTCAGTAGTAAGATGATATGTTTTGTGCCGTTTCAGTGGCCGGTAAGATGAGCGTCGTTGCCAGCGACATTCTGTTCGTGCGGGGCGACGGCGGCTACCGGCCCGGCCTGACGTCTCCAGTGGCTTCGCTGGACCTGGTGAAGCAGACTGGAGGCCCCCACTCGAGCTCCACGGTCAGCTCCAAGGACAGCGCCGTGTTCGATGAGTTCCACCACTCGCCGCGCTGGCTGGCCAAAAACCGCCACAACGCTCAGAAGGCCGCCAAATACAAACAGGTCAGCGGCCGAGCGCTCCTTTTGTGCCGCTGCTTGTGCAGTTATGTGCCGCGCGGTAAAATGATGTTGTAAGTGGATTGTAATCCTTTTAAATGACAAAAGCGATATTAATGTAGCTCTAAAAATATGTTCCTTGCTTCAAAACTATTATTCGTCTCGTAACATCAAGGGGTCTATGGATATTCCCACAATCTTTGCTCGCATTGCATATTTCATTGTCGATGGTATTTCTCTAAATTTTCAATAGCCCAATAAGCTGGCCTTAGAATGGTTACTATGAGGGGTTACCGGAGAATTATTCATTGCAATACGAAGGAACCGGTATGAATATTTCACCAATGCGCACTTCTGCATGAAGCTCTGTAGGCATCTGACGATTGCTCATCGCTCCTGTCTCATTATCTCCATTCCGACAGCTTAGTACGAATGTGACAATGGCGACATTCAGCTCCCACGGGCCTGCCCGATCTTAAAGCTTTAGCTCTGTATAATGACGCGGAACAAACCACACACAGTGTTGTCTCTCCAGCAAACCATTGTATTTATTTCTGATAAAAATGCAAATGTCACAGGACCATAAAATTGACGGCCAGGTGTTTTCTTTAATGTTCTCATAGCTATGCATTGCAAACCCCAGGACCCTACTCACAATATGTTATAAACATACGTGCTCCAAAACCCTTCCCACAGGCCTGCCTTCCTGCTCCTGACTCGCTGGACAGTTCGCTCCCACATGGCGGTCGCAGTGGTCAGCGGCCTGTCGGGCTGTGTGACGGCGCCATATGTCTCTCTGCCGGCAGCTATTCGGCTCCCAGCCGCGACCCGATGGCCCGGCCAGCTCCGGGACGCCCCCGGTCAGCGGTCTGACCTCTGTGACCCCGGTCAGCGGGCCGGCGGGCCAGACGGGGTCAGGCGGACGGCGGCCGCCGCTGCCCGCCGCCAGGAGTTCGCTGTCGTCCATCACATCACTGGTGAGAGCCGGGGACGTCCCGCCGCTGCCACGGGCAGACCTCTCTCTCTGCAGAGAGGGCTCAGGGACGGGGAATAGGCACCAGCGGGTCCAACGGCCGTACCCCGGACCGTTAATGCTGCTCACTGACGGGCACCAAACACAATGAGCCATGCAAATATCATGTACTGGTTTCCTATGTTACTTGTTGAATGTTGTCGTATATTGCAATATTAAGCCGTAAATACATGCCGCTGCAATGTTCATAGAGCACGCTGGCCGTCTCTCGTCCGACAGAGAAACACAATGGCCACTCTCACTGTCGTGGGGTGCACAGTCATCATTTGCAACGAACATGTCTCGGATGCTGTCAAGCGTCCTTTGATAGCCTTGGAAAGCTTCGGCGACTGTAACGTCTCGTTCTGCATGAGTGCTGCATGTTTCAGATGGGTCTAAGTGGTGGGCGGTGGGCCATCGTCGTGCATTATTCATTACTTACATCACACGCGAACTGGCAAACTCTGCACTGGGAAGAGTGAAAGCTCGTGAAAGCTCGGTGGTGCGAAACCGTGTGAACTCTTGAACTGGACCCTTTAGCGTCCTATAAATCGGATAATCCCAACAACAGTTAAATCAATTGCCGAGCATTGAGCTTAAATAGTGCTACTGCCGAGCAATTGCTTCCTTTTTATTCTTTGAGTTCTCGAGTGAAATTGTTAGTTGGTAAGGTAGGTGCTTGCCTGGATCCTCATTTTTTTTTTCTTTAACACGAAGCCATGGACATAACTAGGTGAGACTCCAATAAAAAGAAGTTCATAAAGTCCAGTGAATTGCCTAATTGAAACACAAAGACGTCTCAGTACATATAATAGTGTTTTCGCGACGACAAGCGTGAGCACTTCAATGGCCCTATTTTGAAAGATTGTTGATTGCAATTGCATCCATATTTATATCTTCGGCAAATTTTATATTATGGGTCCTAACATATTCCGTGACTGTATGTTTCACGACAAAGTCGCTTGTGTTGAGTAAATTGTCTTTTGAAATCATAATAGTATCCGTCCAACCAAATAACGTTTGCTAACTAACCGTTTCCGATTAACCGTTTCCAAACGGCCGTTTGACCGTTTGGAGGGGATATGAATTTTACGTACAATTCTCCTCAGAGGCGCGCAGCTCGACATATAATCCTCCAAACGGGAGGAGAGCGTATGAGAGGAGCCAGCGGCCCCGCTCAAGGCCAGATTATGTCGGTGGGCGGAACAAACCGGGGCCATACGATATGGCATGTTAACCCTTCACCCCTTGCCGCTGACATCGTGCTTGGAATTGCCCAATAGCTATCCGGTAGCATGACCGATGCTATTAATTCTAGTTGTCATATTTTTATATATTATCTCTTTAATGAGCCATGCGATTTCAAAAGACTTTCAATATAAACGTTTCCCTCCGCTGCTTATCGTGACATCGTATTTGCATGTTCCATGCATCGTATGCCGTAGGCTTAGGCAGGCGTCTAATTTGCATCGGTACTTAATTTGAGCACAACATTGATGCAGCGGATGTGTTGCATTAATCCTCACAAATTTCGTTCCCGGTATAATATTACATTCATGATACAACAGTTAATCGGATGTGGCCCCTGACGCCTTGAATGCGTTTTATACGGAGATCGGTGTAAAAACGGCCCAATCTGTTACCGTCGCGCGTCCCCCCGATTTCCGTGAGCTGCCTGTTCGACTTCCCCGCAAGTATTCTCAAATAATAGCATCGAGCTGCAGTAAAAAAAGCAAAAACTTAATTGATGGCTCGCATATGTTGCAGGCCATTCATTGCTAATCCGTGCGACTGTCGCATACCGTGCATTCTAACAGGACGGCAGGCCCTCGCCGACTGGAGTTTACGACTGACAGCGCCGGCACCCGTGAATGGTGGGCTATATGTGCGCGCGCTGGTGCGTGATCGGAGCTGAGAGGAGAGGGCCGCGCCCGGTCGGCCTCCGCAGGCGGTCCCTACCATCCATCTCCAGCTCTGCGGATCACCGAGACGGCCGGGGACAATGGCCAGCGTCCGAGCGTCGCCGGCAGTGCGGTCTCACCGGTGCTGCCCGGCGCCGTGTGTAGGCGCGCGGCCCGCACTGAGAGGACGGACGGCGCACCGGCCTCTGGTGGGCTGAACTGTCCCGCTGGGCGCGGGGCTGTCTCCGCCGCCGCGGAACTCGCGCGCTCGGAGACCTCGCCGTGGACAAATGGTCAGCTGGCCGGCCCGAGTCGCGGCCGCCCACTGACCCTCACCTTGTAAAGCCGTCGCCTTGTTCCCGTCAGTGGCGACCTTGGGCCGGCGGGCCGCCAGGACCAGCTGAGGGCGACGGCGGCGCCGTCGGCGGCCGAGTACCGCACCTCTGACTCGACCAGTGGCGTACAGGCGGCGCCCTGGTTCTGACCCCTCGAATGGTGTCGCTGTCAATCAAGCCGACAGGCCGGCAGACAGCCAAGTAGGTCGCGTTTGAAGAGTTTGGATAAGAACTGATCGATAACCTTCACTCTCGACACTTCTCTTCACACTTGAGCTCATCAAAATTCACGGCACGCGTCGTCCTTAGAACGCACCCGGCCTGTGAGCCGGCAGTACCTAAAGCCGGACGTTTAACGGAATGGGTGACTGTGCTAAGAGGATTTCTGACAAGCGTTTTTAGAAGGAATCTTATGAGATGAGTCAATTTTTGCGACCTAAAGGACTCATAGAACTCATACAGATTTGGAAGCTCATGTAGGTATAGATTGCGTAACTGCCGCACGGTTTGGCGATGAGGATGACATATAGCCAGAGGTGGAGATCTCGGGGGGGGGGGTCAGGACCCCCCTGAAAACGAATTACTGCTCTGTACGTCAATGGTACTGCATTTTTTATTGTTGACAAGTATTATTAACGGAAAAGAAAATATCTTAGAATAGTTCATAACAGTTCATCATAAAAACGGGAGGTTAGTCAAAGCCCAGGCCTCAGACCACTCATTGAAGGTCCTTATCGGTTACAACGCAAGTAATTTTTCAGGACTAAGCATAAACGATTTACAGGTAATAACTCAGACACTTGTGGGTTACTTCTTAACACGTTGGATCCACTTCAATACGTCCTGCATAATGCTTAGTTATGTGGAAAATCTTCAGAAGTTTCACTGTCTTCCCGTCATTTTAAGAGCACACCAACAATAGGCACTGGTAGTTAGGGACGTTCTAATCAAGCGCTTACATTTAATGCCATGCCGGTTTTCGATCCTTGACAGACCAAGTTATGCATAGTTATTGAGGCTATTCACTGATAAAGTGCTCAATTTGTATGTACGCCAATATACCATATAATTGTGATTTGTGCTATACCTACCTAAAAAGCTGAGTGGCTTGCTTAGCCATGCATGTTGAATTCAATGAGGCATTTAGGCATCTCAGTTGTCACGACTTTTGGTCAACGGATAAAATGTCACAAAGCGGCTTGGTAACATAAAACGGTTGTGTTTTATGTGCTGTCAGGTACTTGGGAACACAGGTTTTGCAAACAAGTTTGACAAGCTTCCTATGTCTAAGTCGAGCTCATGCCCTCACTGCAGTTGGATCATGAATGCATTACATCGGTTTTGCATAATAAATTCGATTATTCGGCATTTAAGCTGCATAGATTGATTGGACACTACTGAGCCAGATGCGACTGACTCGATTTCGCAGCAGCTGAGTGCCCCTGTAAGCCGGCGACTAGTGGTGGCTGTTTGGCTGTTGTATAACCGCCGGATGTCTGCCAATGTCGGTGTATCTCCGCCACGGGCCGGCGTGTCCCAGCGGTCCATTGACAGTCCTGTGTAGTGGGCGTATCGTCCGGCGGCCGGCGGTAACCATTGTACGGACCCCGCGGGCCACCGTTTGGGGAGTGCGACCGCTCGTTTGGGGGCGTGCGGTGGGCCGGTCAGTCCCATTGACACCTGCCGGCGCACCTCGCGGCCCATTCAGCCGCCGCATAGACGCGCCAAGGCCGCCACACGAGAGCCGTCCGTGTCGGTGGCATGTTAGTGTGCGGTGCGGCAGCAGCGTCCGCCCACCCCTCTCCCGGCCCTGCCCTGCTCGGTCGGCGCCCCGTCCTGCATTCCGTGCCCGCCGCTGCCGCAGCAGTAAACGACGCGCAATGGTCGGTGACGGCGGCGGGCTGCGGTGCCGCCCGGCGACTCACCACACCCTCGACCCCGGCGCCACCGGACCTCGCGGGCGTGACGTCACAGCCCCCGTCGGCCGGTCAGTGTGAGATGAACAGGAGTGAGATGGACAGAGACGGTGCCAGATGCAGTGAGTGGTGATGTGGTGAGACGGGCGCGGACAGGCCGTGTAGACAGAATCCCCTCTGAACGAGTGCGACTGGCGGTCGATGTGGACCAAAAACCACCGTCAGAGCAAGATCCTGACATGAACGGGGGGAGCCGAGACCCAAGCGGCTCCGACCGACGGCAGCTCGGTGTAGGCCGTGGCCCGCCGTCTCCCAGTGAGCGAGTGACCATCACTACCCGTCGCACCAGACAGCTCTCTCCGCTGCAGCGCGGCGGTCCGCGGTTCTTGGAGCAGACTCTGACCGGCCGCGAGCTGCGGGTCACGGAGCGGTGTCAGCCCGCCGAGCTGCCGCCGCCGCAGGCCGCGCTGCTGCAGCTCGGCCGTCTGGTGGCCGGCTCCGGGGGAACGGTGGGTGAGCGCGAGCTGCGCCAGCTGCGGCAGCTGCAGCGCGCCGGGCCGCTGCCGGTGCTGGAGCGGCGCGCGCGCAGCACCCACACCCGTCTGGGGAGGGGAGAGGTGCTCACTGTTCGCGAGACGAGCACCGAGCGGATCAGCGTCCGGCCGTGTCGGCGGCTCAGTGAGGCCGCGGCGGCCGAGACCGTGGGCAGAGCTGCCGAGATCGGAGTCTGCCCTGATGGCAGTGGGCGGCAGACGGAGCGGACGGGTTCTGTGTCCCACACTGTCGGCCCTCCGAGCACCCGTCGCGACTCCTTCCTGTCCTGTGAATTGAGCCAAGGAGGAACTACCGTCGTCCCGAGCCGGAGCAGTTCGCGCCGTTTGCGTCTGAGCTACCTGAGACCGGAGCTGTGGCCGCCGCCGCCCGACAGACACGACGTTCTCCAGGAGGACATCGACGAGCGGCTGTTTGCCTCAGAGGCCGGAGAGCAGTCAACAAAGCTGTGGGAGTTTGTTGATATGACGGACCGACCAGATGAGCGAAAGGAGAGTAAAAGATACGAAGAAAAGCGGAGCAGGATAGAAATGAACGATGACGAGCATCAGCCAGTGTCGTCTCATCTAAGCCAGCTGCCTAGAGAGGACGACGTAAATCAGAACCCACCGCCACATGCCGTGAACCAAATGGTGGTTTTCAAACATTGCGGCAGTCCGGTCGGGCATTCCACCTGTTCCCGCCGGAATCGTAGGGCTCGTTCCGGGGGACCGGCCAGGTCTGTGGAGATGATGAACGTTGCAGCTAAGTCTATACGCCTGAATATAGTTGAGGAGGATCGTACTCGAATGCCAGCGGCTCTCACCAGCAATAATAAAAGCGCCGTCTATTCCACTGCATCAGACACCAACAAAGGTTTCGACGATGACAAGCCAGTCTTTGCCAACGACATACCTTCAGAATATTGGACACCGCAAATGTTTGATGATGAAACTGGCTCCATTATAAACCAGAGATTTGATGTGAGAAAGGGACTTCCCATGTTTGACTTTCAGGTTGTCCATAATGATCCAGTCTCCTCACCTGCAGACATTGTCATTGTTCTGAGAGATATGTCTGCAATGCTGAGCAGGGTTTCGGGGTCTTCGACCACTGACAAAACTCGTGAATGTAATGCATTGACAACGAGAGACCCGCGTGACGCCACTCAGGCGAAGCTGTGGCGAGCTCTGCTGCTGAGGGCCTCCACTGACGGCCTCCCTCCACCTACCGGTGGCGTCACTGTCCAGAGGGTGGCCATGACTCCGGCGTCTACCTCAGAGCTCCTGCGGCGTCTGTCGGCCTCAGGTGCCGGCGCGGCAGGCCGCTGGCCGCTCCGCGTGGAGGACGGAGGAGGTGCCGCGGATGTTCGACTGGCACCGGTGTCAGCGGAAACAGCAGCGACGGAGGACCGTCCTTCGACAGTGGTGCTGGAGGCCGCAGCAGGACCAGAGGATGTCTGGCTCCGTCCAGCAGACACAGATCTGGCGGACACCTGGTATCCACCGTTGACCGACGCAGAAGACGTCTGGCCCCGTCCGGCAGTGTCTGATGATAGGTCCGACATAACCAGTCACTGGTCGGTGACGCTGGGCGAGCTGCGGTACGGAAGCCGAGAGATCATCATCAGGCAGCTGCCTGATGTCAGGAATCTCCGCACCGTCTTCAGATCAGACTGGGATAGCGGCCTTATCAGGGAGACGAGTGATGAAACAAGAGGGTTCGCTATCGGCGGAGAATTTGTAAGTGAATGTGCTGAAGAGATGGTCGCCCTCGACAGACTTCCACCGCCAACCGGCAGTGACCGTCCTGACGGCGGAGGAGTGGCCGTGACGGTCCACTCCGCCGATCTGACGGCCCCAGTGGAGCCAGCGAGCCCCGTCGAGCAGCGCTGCCGCCGTCCCCGTCCCCAGATCCTGGGACTGGCGCCGTATGGTGCACCGGTGGCTCGCAGCGCTGAGGAGGCTGCCGTTCAGCTGTGGGTGCCGTGGTCGGAGATATACGGCGCGCAGCAGCAGCCGGTCCTGAGCGGCCTACAGCGGCGGGACTGTGGGCCCAATCTGCCCATTGCGGCCGAACGGGCCAACGAGGTGGTCTGGGTAGGTGACTTCACTGTACCGCACTACACCACAGGCGCCTACAGATATACCTACTGCACCGCACTGCAGTACAGGTGCCTGTAGATATACTGTACCGCACTGCACTACAGGCGCCTGTAGATATACTGTGCCGCACTACACCACAGGCGCCTACAGATATACTGCACCGCACTGCAGTACAGGCGCCTGTAGATATACTGTACCGCACTACACCACAGGCGCCTGTAGGTATACTGTACCGCACTACACAACAGATGCCTGTAGCTATACTGTACCGCACTACACCACAGACGCCTGTAGCTATACTGTACCGCTCTACACCACAGGCGCCTGTAGATATACTGTACCGCACTGCACTACAGGCGCCTGCAGATATACTGTACCGCAATACACTTCAGGCGCCTGTAGATATACTGTACCGCACTGCACTACCTACAGGCGCCTGCAGATAGATATACTGTACCGCACTACATTAAGGCGACTGTAGATATTAGTAGCGCCGGAACACCTTCAATTAACCCGCGCCCTGTAGGGCTATCGGCGGACCCTACCACCCGAAGTGGGGGGGGGGGGGGCGTTTCGGCCCCCCTTACGATCTCGGAAATTTACCAGCCGATTTTCAAAATTCAAACGGCGTTCGATGGCCCCACCGGGGAACTACCTTGTGACCAAATTTCATTGACCTAGGTCAAACCGATGACGTCACAGGTCAGATCAAAGATCGGATTTTCACCGTTCACAGGCATTTCAAGAAATGCGTTGTGAAATCGAATAAATTGGTAAGTTATTGAAAACCATCGATGGTACTCATTGTTCGTCAAACACATAGGTACTTTGCTATCTGAGGTCACTGATATCAGGTCAGATCACAGAGGCCAGGTCACTGGGGGTCACAATATGAAAGTGAAATCGAATTCACTTTCCATGCAAAAGTGTCGTGTGATACATGTTTTATGGTCCATTTTACATGACAAATGCGATTGTGTGGGTCAGGCAGCCCTTGGAGCCAGCTTTGGTCACGTTTTGGTGAAGGTCAGGTCAAGATCAGGTCAAATTAGGTAAAATTTCAAAGTTGATATTTTTGCATAAATTGGGTATTGATTCGATGCAGCTTGTCACGGGGAGTCTAATGGTGGTCTTTATCTTGCCCTACATGGTTTAGAATTTCCAAAAATTAAGTTTGAAAATTTGACGTCATCATTTTTAAACAGTGTTTTCGCCATAACTTGGCCAAAAAACGAGATATCGATCTATGTAGATAGAAGACGGTAGGTACTATCACATATATTCCGTTTTTTAAACTCATTTTTTTTTGGCTTATATATAAAAAAATGCTCTTTTAATTTTTGGTGGTCAGAACTCAAAAATTTCTAAACTCCGAGGTGGTAGTTTTGTAGCCCTGTCAATTCTACACCTTTTATGTCTTGACCATTTTTCTGTATCTTCAAAGCTGTAGGCCTGACAGCTCTTCTCGCGAAGGTCTTTTTTCGGTCGAAAATGGCAGAACATGACGTCATTCTGACGTCATTTGTGGCTAACCTATCATGGCCTCTGGAATATTTTTGGTCACAATGTGTAAAATTGATGCCCGGAGGGGTCCTGAAAGTTTGGTGGCGATATCTCTAGCCGTTTAGGAGATATCGACGGAAAAGGACAGGGGGGGGGGGCGTTTCGGCCCCCCTACGGGGCGCGGGTTAAGGGGGGGGATGGCACTGCATGGAAAGAATGGAAAGAATGGGACTATTGGTCCCATTCTTTCCATGCAACGCTCATAGGGCTCATGTTAAAATGCCAAAATCAAGTGGGCACGGTGCCCCCCCCCCCCGTTCCGCCGCCTTTGGTAGATACTTCTGCACCGCATGACACTACAGATCAGTTGAGATATACGCATTTCATCTCATCACATCTGTATTTCCATTACATACAATATATATGACCTAAGAAACGTCCTAGGATTGGTGCACAGCCATGTGTCTGGGCTATGTCTAGGCACCTCTCCCGGTCAGCAGAACCAAGCCACCGCTGACAACAGCGCCGCTCCGCCCCACCCGATGTGCATATACTGTACTGTATTACAGTACAGACGCCTGCAGATATGCTGTACCGCATTGCATTATAAACGCCTGTAAATATACTGTACTGCACTACACCACAGGTGCCTGTAGTGTACATATGTATATGTACTGCGCCGCACTACACTACATGCGCTTGTAGATATCCTGTACCGCAATACAGGCGCCTGTAGATATACTGTGCCGCACTACACCACAGGCGCCTGTAGATATACTGTACCGCATCACATTATAATAAACGCCTGTAAATATACTGTGCCGCACTACACAGGTGCCTGTATAGATAGGGTACATGTATGTACTGTGCCGCACTACACTACATGCGCTTGTAGATATCCTGTACCGCAATACAGGCGCCTGTAGATATACTGTACCGCAATACAGGCGCCTGTAGATATACTGTACCGCACTACACCACAGGCGCCTGTAGATATGCTGTACCGCATTACACTACAGACATCTGTGACATAAACTCCACCGTCTTCGTTTATTCGTTCATTCGTTCATTATATCGTTCATTCGTTTATAGGCATGCATATTGCCTACTTTACCCCAGTTAAGACACATTTAGACTATTAATGTATAAGGTGCCGTTTACCTACTTGTTTAGTAAACGGTGCATACCTATTGTTTTTACGCTTCGTTAAGATATACCGAGAAAAAGTGCCCTCGACCAATTGTGCCGATCTGGAGTCCAGGGCGAAAGCAGTCCTGATCTGAATCGCATCAACTAATAAAAACGCACATTTAGCTCCTGTAATGGATATTGTACTTACATCTCTCAGGGACTCAACAAGCTATAACATTAGCCAACATTCTGAGCTGTGCGCTGCATGTCAAAAAACAAAAGCCGATCATGGATTAGGGACCAAATATAGCAGATGGGAAGCTTCCATATCCGCCTCGTAATATCAGTTACGCATGAATGCTATTTCTAATGGCCACCTGTAATGCGTTCTGCGATGCTTTCGCGCACGCAAAAAGATTGTACTAGTAAATATATGATAATCTTATATAGCTTGAACATCCCTTCATTTTCAGATTCTAGGCACCAATCGGTTTCGACAGCGGTCTGCCAAGGCAAATCATCGGTCGACGACCGTGCTGAACACAGCGAAGGAGGCCGTCAACCACACTTCGACGACCATCATCACCGGCAGCCCGGTCCCGGGAGGCGGCCGGTCAGAAACGGCACCGGACGCTCCGTCCCCGATCAAAGGGGACCGCCGGCCGCCGACCTGGATCGAGAAGGCACTGCGCGCCGACGCTGCGACCCCGTCCCAGGTAAAAACCCTCACTGTGACGGGAGGAACAGAGACCGCCTCTGACGCGGCGACTGCGTTTGGGGCGACAGGGTGGGCCAACAAAAAGACTGCGAGACCGATGAGCCTACAGACGCTGCAATGGGAGACACTTGCAGCGACAAAATGTCATTTCACTCTGGGGAAGTTGTGTTGGATCCGGGCCAAGGGTACGGCGAGCGGCTCATACATCACACATGAGCTGGGCAGGCGGCCGGCTGCTGATTATTCAGTCTGGCCCGGAGACGCCCCGACTGAGGTCTCCTCTCACTGTCACTCTCACTCTTGCGCCAATGCGCCAAGATATGTCATGAATAGGAATAGATAACGACTCCAGTACGTCAGTACATATATGTTACTGTTAACGTTCATTTGCGATCTATTCATCAGTAATTACTAATTATGTTTGCATTTGCTAGTGGTTTGATCGCTACTAAATGGTTATATTTCGAGCTCCCGATACGTAACGCTAATTTCCGATACGTGATCGTCCAGTAATGCATACTTATTATTTATACCTAGGTGCTCGATACACCTCACTGCTCAGGTCACCAGTATCGACACCCTTTCTTTTCGAACTCGATCAGCGCCAAATCCAATAAAAGTTGAGACTGGGATCCAAATTCGTCCATTTCGCTGGTATTCAACTGCCTTAAACCTTTTACCGATTTATAGTACATTGGAAAGTTTTAATTCAAGAATGAAAAGAGACGGCTCTTATTTTTGTATAGTTGAGAGCTATTCCCAGATGTCCAGGCCCTCTGTCGCCCTTAGCTATGATATAATAGTGCATACGCAAAGCTTCACCATCTTTCATAATGTATTTTTCCCGTGCGTTGTTTGCGTTGAATAACATGGACAAAAGGCAAAACAAGCAAGGAATGGCAAAACTTAACATGAGGAACGGGTGAAGCTAAATGCTAATAGCGAATTCAATTTTGCTCCTTTATTTTACCCCAGCCCCGCGATGTTCGGGGCGCGGTACTGCGCCCGCCCTGCAGCCGGTATGTTCGTGTGACGGCTGTGTGTCGTGGGCGCTGTGCAATGCCGTCGCGACTGACTGCGCCGCCGGCTCTGATGTGTTTATGGAGAACGGAAGGCTCGGTATATAGGGCGCCCAAGGTCAGCTGTCACCAGTTTTTCAATAAAACACGCGACGCGTTCGATGTTGTTGCGCGATGCGTCACCGTCACTCTCTCTGTTACTGCAGCTCGCGCTGCGTGACGCGCCGGGAGTGATGTGCTCACGCGCCGAGAGCTGGCAGAGCGCCCGCTCGGCCCAGCTGCGGCCGGGGTGGGGCCGCTCCTCCCCAGCACGTCCGGCACGGCCGGCTGACTCCGCCCCCTCTGCCGACAGCTGCCGGCGCCGCTCCGGCTCGGCCGCCAATCGGAGCCGGCGCAGCGGCTCGGTGACGTCACCGGCCACCGCGATGTCGTCACCGATGACGTGAAGGGTCGGCCGCCGCGGCCCGGCCGGCCGGCGCGCATCAGTTTGGTGACCGTCAGCGCGGCGGAGCAGGCCGCCGCGGCCACGCAACAAAGTGCGTCGGAGCGTGGTGACAGTGCGAGCGGTGTGGGCGCAGCAAGCGGACCGCAGACCGACGCCGGCTCAGTGCCGGTGGCCCCTCCGCGGCGGCGCCGTCCGACCGGCCGTCTGACCTCGAGCGTGGGCGACCTGCTCGACTCGGGGGAGCGCCGGCCGCGCCTGGTACCGCACGGCGTGCCCACCGCCACCACCCGGCTGACGATCCCGCTCAGCGGCCTGCGGGGCCCGCCGGCCGCGCCAGCCGGCACCCACTCGAGGCCCGAGCCCGACTCGAGTCACGACTCCTCGCTCAGGGGTCACGACTCGGCAGCCCCCACCGCTCCTCGGCCCCAGCCGCGGCGGCACAGCAAGTCCACCGGCAGTCTCCTGTTCGCCGGAGAGACCCCAGGCAGCCCGCCGAGGGCGGCACCGAGAGCTCTCAAGTTCAGCATCGGGAGGGCGCTCACCGAGCACGGCGCGAGGACCAGCGTCCAATTGACGTCCGACGGAGCCTCAGAGACACAGCCGGAGCGACAGAGCCGTCAGGAGCCGCGGCCGGAGTCCAAGCGACCGTCGGAACCTGAACAGGAGCCGGACAGGACGCCACCGTCATTGTTTGAAAGGACAGGAGAGCTGAAGAGCGGTAGCAGGGCCAGTATCCGTGTTCAGTCGCCGCCCCGGCAGCCGGTCACCAGTCTCCCGGAGCCGCGGTCGGCGGAGCTGGAGACAGACTCCAGTTCGGCGGACGGCAGTGACTCCCCGCCATCCCTCCGTCGCGTCCTCAGCCCGCTCTCTGCCGACTCTGTATCAGACCTTTCTGCGGCCGCGGGCTCGGAGCGGCGCACCTACCGGAGTCGACGGCCGGTCAGCACCACCGCGTCCCCGGCCACCCCGCTGCTCTCCAGCCAGGATCGGCGCCGGCCACAGAGCGCCTTCAACGCGCGGCGGACGATCGCGCACCGCCGCCAGGCAGAGGCGGCCGCCAGGAGCGCCTCGGAGCCGCGCCGGCGACACACGGCTACCTGGGTCACCGGCAAGATCAACGTGAGCGTGACGAGCGTGGGTCGCGCAGCCAGTCTGACGCAGCTGGGCGCCGGCGGAGGGACGAGGGCGCTGACCGTCTCGGACCGCTCCTCCTCCAGTCCAACCCTGGAGCAGGAGAAGCGCGACATCCGCCGCTACCTGTACTGCACCAACCTGACCTCGGGCGACCAGAGCCCTGAGCGCGAGCGGCGTCTGTCCGAGAGCTGCCTGCGACTGGGCGCGCCGGCGGCCGGTGACGAGCTGCCCGAGCGGCCGGCCGACCCGCGCCTCCTCTCGCCCGACTCGATCGGATCGTGCTGGAGCGCCGTCACCGCCGACGTGCTCACCGTGCGCGACACAGCCGACGAGCGCTCTGACGTCACTGGAGACCGGTGTGACGTCTTTGGAGGCCGGACGGACGCCGCGATGACTCTGGAAACGGAGGATGAGCGGCCGCCCAGCTCGATCTCGACCGCCGCGTCCACCGGCCCGCGGCGGCGGCTGAGCACCAGTGTGGTCCACCTGTGGGGTCCCGACGAGAGCCACCTGCTGCCGTCCGGCCCCAGCAGTCTGCCCAGCACAAGACCAGCGCGGCCTCACAGCCTGTCGAGCTCTACACTGCTCGGTGGGACGGACCAACAGCCCAGCTGGCTGCCCAGGAGCCAGGAGCGGCGCAGTCTGCGGGACGGCCTCAAAGGAGACGCCTGGAGCCGTACTGCTGACCCCGCTCAGTCACCCACCACGCTGCTAACGGCCAGTGTGGGGCAGCCGGCCGCGGGCCTGGCCAACGGCCAGCCGGCCGAGCCACGCCTCAGCTCCGAGTCACGCCCGCCGGCCGGCGGACACGGCCCCCGACCGGCACCGCTAGATCTCAGCGCCAACGCCGACGTCGAGCTTTCATCTGAGGTTCCGCCCGAGCCTCCTTCGTGTCCTCCTCCCGACTCACCGACCGAGTCGCCGTGTGACCTGCCCCCTCCGCCCCCCTCGCAGCCTCCCCCGGACTCTCCCCCGGACTCTCCCCCTCCTCTGCCCTCGGTGCCTCCCCCAGAGTCGCCGACCGACTCCGGTCCTGAACCGCTGTGGACCAGCCGTTTCGAGCGGCCCCGGCGACAATCCCTGTCGACCAGTCTGCCCAGTTTCGCCACGGTGCCTGTAGTATCGGACGGCTCGGCCAGTGTGGGTAGGAAGCCTCCCAGTGTGGCTCCCTCTCTATGGTCCGACAGTCCGGCGGCACCGATCGGCCGGCCCGCGGCGCGCCGTCCCCTGCGGCCGGCTGGGCTCGCCTCTGACGCGGGGCGCGGGCCCTCCAGCCTGCCGGCGGTCACACCCGACAGCGGCGCCGGCGCGGCCGACTGCACGGCTCAGTGGACAGGGGCGGGCGGCGGCGCGGCTGCTGCGCCCGCCGACCGGCACACAGTACAGGTGCGTGTGGCGCGGCCGGAGCACTCCCCAGAAACGGCTGGCAGCGCCCAGCGGCGCCGCGCCAGCACTGGGGTGTACCTGAACGGCGCGGCGCCGGCCGCCGAGAGCCGCACCCAGACCAGCTTCACCATCAGCCTGGGCGGCGCCAGGAAGCGGCCGTCGTTGTTCTCTCAGCGCTCGTCGCCCAGTCTGCTGTCCACCAGCCAGCCGGCCTCCCTGCCCACGCTCTCCAGTAAGTCGCCCACGTCCCCGCCGCCGGCCAAGCAGCCGCTGTCGCTGTCCGGCCTCCGCGCGGCCCGCCGGCCTCTGTCGACACCGGCAGTACAGGCTCCACCGGCTACAGCCTCCGACAGGCAGCCAGTGTCGCTGCCGGGCCTGTTTGACGCGCGGCAGCCGACTCCTTCAGCACAACGAGAGCCGACATCACTGCCGGCAGCGACCCGGCTCCCTAAGTCGCCGCCTCCGTCCCGGTCCCAGCCGTCCCTTCCCAAGTCGCCTCCGCCGTCTCGGCCACCGCCGTCCCTCCCCAAGTCACCGCCTCCGTCCCGGTCCCCACCCCGGTCTCCGGCGGCGTCTCGGACCGAGGACAGCCGGCGCGGCTCGAGCGAGCTGCAGCGGCAGCTGGAGGACGACTGGGCGCGGATGGAGCGGCGGCACCAGGCGTTCCTGCGGCACACGGCCCAGCAGCGCGGCCAGCCGGCGCCGCGCTCCATTCTGAAGAAGCAGAGCGCACCCAGCCTGCTGGAGAGCGTGGCCAGTGAGAGCCGGCCCGGCTGGGAGCGCGCTGAGCAGCCGCGGCGCCGCGCCAGCAACGTCAACTGGCACGACCTGGAGCGGACCAAGCAGCAGATCCGCTCCGAGATCGAGCGCATGAAGCGCCAGCTTCGATCCGAGATGGGCGGCAGCGGCAGCCGGGCGGGGCCGTGGCCTCCGCGGCCGGCGGCCAGCTCCGCCGCCTCCGCCACCAGTTCGACATCAGGCCGCACCGTGGTGGAGACGATCCACGCCATCCACATCGAGCGCGACTCCAGCCCGGGACTCGTCATCACCGAGGTGGACGACGCCGATGACGCCGCCTCCAACCACTCAGGCGTTGTCATCGAGGAGATCTTTGACGACGAGCTGGACGCCGCGGCGCCGGCGGGCGATGCCGACTCGCTGCCGCGCCCAGCAGCGCAGGAGCGATCTCACCCGGGTCCTGCGGTGTCAGAACCGCAGCCGCAACCGTCACCATCTCCCTGGTGGAGGACCCCGGTGGCTGCGGCCTCGGCGGCCACTGAGACGTCTCACCTGCCCGGATGGAGGCGGCCGACCCAACCAGCCACCGCCGTATCAGGTAAGATACGCGCTCAGCGTCAGCGGCACCCATTGGTAAGGTTAATGAGTTGCAGCAAATTGCAAAATGACCTTGCAGTCGGCGCGCCCCGAACCACCAACAAACAAACATAAGAGTTGTAGAAAATTACCATTCTTTGAGCTATTATTGGACCTAGCTTGAGTCCGCCATAGACGCATGCAGTGAGTAACACATTTTCACAAGCGCGCTTTGTATTTTTATAACATTTCTGGACTTCCTGCAGTTACGAATGTTCTGTCGCGGCGAACCTGATGAATTGTTCTAACTTCCATGGCACTCAATATGGCGCCGCTGGTTTCCCAGGTGCGGAGTCTCGGCTCCTCCACTCGGCAGGGTCGGTGTCTGAGCGGCCAGTGTCCGGCGGCGGACTGTCTGACGGGGAGCGGCAGCACGTGCAGGTGAGCTCCCGGGGACCCGCCCGGCCTGTCCGCTGCACGCGCGTCCACCGGGGCACGGAGCCTGTCACCGGCACCATTGTCCGGGCCGGCTTTATGTGTTTATGCAGAGTTATGCAGCACGGCGATGCCAGGGGAGTGGCCGGGCTGGCCGGCTGTTGCGCTGTATTCGCGGCGGCCGGCGACGGATCCCCCTGTGTGGTGCATTATTCAGCAGTGTATACTCGGTGTGTGTGTCCGCGGGGTGGTTTATAGCTCATGTTCTCGGTACCCGTCGGCCAGGTGGAGCAGCTGAGTGCGACGTCCGTCTCCGGGGAACAGCAGAGGGATCTCTCGATGACTCATTTTCGGCACCTGTATGTCGATAAGATGAAAACGGTGCATATTGGAACAGCGGGTAAGTACTTAGACATGCCTCTGTGCTTACTCTGTCTCTGTTTATATTAACAAGTAATCATTAACTTTTTCCGTGATTGCGTGTAGTCAGTCACCATGCTTGCTTGTGAACTGTCATATAGGCTTATAACTGATATTTATTTTGCCTCATCGACATCTGTTTTATAAACTACTGAACATCTCGCCATTAATTATTAACAACTGGTGGATTCAACATTTCACAGACATAGCGCTGTCCCGTTCGTACTCGTAGGCTCCTACGTTGGCTTCCCTTTTACCATTTCATTTGCATTTTGACCGGCTAGTTAGCGTGGCCGGCGCCACAGTATTAAACGGGCCAGAAATTGCTGGAGATCGCATCTCGAGCACTTTATTTTTAGAAGGCTGGTCCACACCGAGCCACCGATCAGTTTTAAAACAAGCCTGAGTTCCAGTCACCTGTTAACCCGCGCCCTGATGGGGGGGGCCATTTTGGCCCCCCCCCCTGTGGTTTTTCTTAAATAGCGAGAAAACGGCGGCGCGCAGCGCCGCCAAATTTTGGGTACCTTACCGGACATCAATTTGACACCTTCACACAAAATTTCAAGTCACAGGTCACCTCAGGTCAGGAGTTATTGAGGTCAAACTGAGGTCATGTTCGAGTAAAAATGAGCAAAAAACATGACATCTTGAAACGCTCACCAATTCTACAGTTAACAAGCAATTTTAAAGTTCTTTATGTGGTTGTGTAGAGAAAAGACGGCGCTATAAAACTGCTATCTCGGATTTTCGAAATTTTTGGATTTTGACCCCCAAAAATCAAAAAAATTGATTTTTTTAGAAAAACTCAAAAAAATTCCAAAAATTTTTCGAATTTCGAAAAAACCGGAATATATGTGATAGTCCCTGCGCTCTTCAATATACATACCAAATTTTAGATCGATACCTCTTTTTTCTGCCAAGTTATAGCGAAAAAACTGTTAAAAATTGATGACGTCAAATTTTTGAACTCAATTTTTAGCAATTCTAGACCTTGTAGAGCAAAACGGAGACCACCATTGAACTCCCCGTGACGAGCTGCATCGAATCGATACCCATTTTATGCAAAAATATCAACTTTGAAATTTGACCTAATTTGACCTGACCTTGACCTGACCTTGACCTGACCTTGACCAAAACGTGACCTTAGCTGGCCCTTAAGTCTGTCTGACCCACATAATCGCATTTGTCATGTAAAATGGACCATAAAACATGTATCACACGACACTTTCATATTGTGACCCCCCCAGTGACCTGACCTCTGTGACCTGACCTGGTATCAGTGACCTCAAATAGCAAAATATGTGTTTGAAGAACATTTCCCCATCGATGATTTTCAATGAAATGCATTTTACACGATTTTACAACGCATTTCTTGAAATGCCTGTAAACGGTGAAAATTCGACCTTTGACCTGACCTGTGACGTCATCGGTTTGACCGAGGTCAATGAAATTGGGTCACAAGGTAGTTCCCCGTTGGGGCTATCCAACACCGTTTACCGCTTGTCGCTATGTTGCGTGGTTCTCGAGATCTGAGGGGGGGGGGCCAAAATGGCCCCCCCCCCCCATCAGACCGCGTTGCTCGGCAGACCCCATCTGGGCGCGGGTTAACAGTGAACCAAAAACATTTGGGATTGATTGCACTAGTCAGTGCTGTGTTTAACTTCCTGGGTCTATTTTTATTTTGTTTGCTGTAACGGTGCCTCATTTTTAGCTATATAGAATCCGTGGCAAGTGACTTACGGAAACCTGCCGTTAATTATTTCTAAGGGATTGTGAGCAGATATTTAAAAGCCTATTTTTCTGCCATCCTTTTTTCCATTGAGTCCCATTTCTCTTGTCAGACTATTGCCACTTGCATTTTGCCATGCTTAACAGGTACTAACACTCGGCGCTGCCGGTCAATTTAGTAGCTCTGTCTAGCCGGATGGAATGGCCGACCGGCCAACAGACGCCGGACTAGCAACAGTCATAGGCCGTGTTCACAGATGGCGGCAGCGCGGAGTGGCTGCCTACGGCGTCTGAGGCCGCGGCGTCGCCGGCCGAACCACGCTCGGACGAGCCGCGGCCGCCGGAGGCTTCTCGCTGGAACGGCCCGCCTCAGCCGGCTGCCGTAGCACGGGAGACGGAGCCGCACTCGCCGCTGTCAGCTTCCCTGGAGTCAGAGCTGACGCAGTCTGCTGCAGCCCCGGAAACGGGGACAGCACCGCCGGCAGCAGCACCGCCAACGCCTTCTTCATCCGTGTCTGATGACCTCGCAGCTCTCCGAGTATCAGACGCACAGGCCTCTGATAACGCTCCAAAGTTGTTAGGAAGTTTGGAAACTTCAGAACGTAAAGCTGAATTGGATCGGTTGGAAGAAGACATAGGACGGACTGCAGGTGAGAGCATCAGTGGAGTGGAAGGGAGCAGGCTCGTGACTTCGATTGAATCTTGCCAGTCATCTGTGGTTGACAGGGCGAACGAAGCTCAGGAAGATTGTCGCCAGTCAGTTTTGGATGCGAAGTCTTCCATCACAGTGTCTGATACGTCTTGCCAGTTGTCGGAAAAGTCCGACTTGTCTTTGTTAAACCATAGCGTGTCAAAACTGCCGTCGGCTCAGGAGTCACAATCATTGAACAGTCGGTCAGATACATCGGACGTATTCAAATCATCACCAGGTGAGAGGCCTGAGACGCATCAGCTGCCTGAGGAGTCTCAGAAACCCCATAACTCCAGGACGACCTCTGAATCCCCAGCCCCATCGGAGAAACCCCAGTCGTCACAACAGCCCTCCAAGAAGAGCCGCAGGATGCCACCAGCGTCAACGTTCGGTAGTTGGAAGGCGCGGCACGCGGGTCTGGTCGCCCCCGGCTCCCAGGCCGGCCGGTCCGGCAGCACGGCTGTTGGCAGGAGCGTGGAGGTGGCGCTGGGTCGCCTGCTGGCCGGGTCCGGTCGGGCTGATCGTGGCACGCAGGTCACACAGAAAGTAGAGCCCGCACGGAGCGGCGCCGCCGCGGGGCGGCCGGTGTCCCGTCCCCGCCCCGCGGCCGACCGCGGTGTGACACCGCCGCGGCAGCACCGCACTGGGCCCGGAGAAGGGACGCCCGCTCAGAGAGTGTCGGCCGCCAGAGCCGCCAGACAAGCCCCGTCCGCTCCGAGCCATAGTCCGTCTGTCCCGAGACAAGAGCCGCCGACAACACTAAGCACTACTTCGCGTGTGGATGTTGACCAGCGGAAGGATAATGAGCGACGTAGGGTAGCGGGGCCGAACAGTGATCTTGAGGCACACAGAGGTGAGGAAAGGCGGCACGGCGGTCCCCGGTCTGTTACTGGAGACAGGGCGACAAAGTTCCACCGTACTACTGAATCAGCACGGACGCAGACAAAGCCCAGCTCCCACAGAGATAAAGCGGATAGCGGCGACAGAAATAGTGCTACAAATCGAGGCTCTCGGACGGAGAATTTAAAACCAAAACCACAAACAAAGCCCCCTCCAGCGACCGAGCGTGTCCAAAACACTCGATTGGTTATCACCCAGAAATTGAATGCCAGCTCACCACATTTCTACACGGAAATGCAGTGGAACGAGATGGGGACCGGCAAGGTCCGCCACGGCAGATCGCCAAACGGTGAGTCTGGCAGCGGCATTCGGCGTTTTACTGGTGCTCACCGGTCTGATATGCTTGCACTCACCCCATTTAATTCCAAATAATCGCTGTAGTATTTTAGCTAATCCATTGATTCTTCTACAAGCTGTTTTTGGGGCTGCGAATAATAACTGCATTGATCATAAAACGTTAAGCGCAAATCACTGATGTAGGCTATGCATTATGGTCACTATATATCATGCAATAAAGAAGTTGCAATAAAGGATAATTTGACGAGAGCTGCCAGCCTGACAACATACTATGTAACTAGCGGTTTAATAGATATGTTTTGTTCCATCTGGTATGGCATCATTGCCGTAGCGTATTCGAGCACTAACTTTGCCTCAATGAACGATGTGGCCTTATTTACTTCCCGGCCTGTTCAGCGGCTGACTAACCGTGTTGCCGTGCCGCTGCTGATCAGATGGTGAGTCGACCGCTCCGGACGAGACCCGACACTATCACTCTGTGGCCGCGGTCGGCGCCAGCGTCACCAGCCGAGTGGTGACACCCGGTGGTGACCTCCGCACCACGTTCAGCACCAGCACCACTTCCGGCACCAGCCCGGGACGACCGCGCTCCCCGGCGCCGGGCCGCCGGCCGGCCAGCGCCGCGCCGAGGCCAGGTCAGTTCACCGTGCCCAGTCGGCAGCAAGGCGCTATATAGTCGGCAGGGTCAGTCGTTAAGGGACAGTGGTTATGGGATGTATGCATATTGTGTAGTATAGACCTCTGTACACCGTCATGTAACCTTCATCACATTTGTTGCGCCAAACCTTCCAGTCGATCCCACACAGCATTCAGCATAGCACAACAATCAGCCATCGCCCGCAGTGGGTACAGACATGCGCCTTCAGAGGAGCCATGAGTTGTCCTCCCACACGGCAGTTGGCTTCTCCCACACGGGTGTACAGAGGTCTATGCGTGTAACCTTCACTGAACATCCGAAAGTCTTTGTGAGTTAAATAGTCGTTTGTTGTAGAAATGGCTATTCATTTTAATCCTCATGACTCATTAACGCAATGAATTACATTCATCCGTCGACTGAAGTGCATTATCTACATCGTTCAAACTGGAATCGTTTGCTGTTTTACGGTAACTATTGCGGTATCTCATAATAATCCTTGATGTCCTTTTTCAGACTATTTGTCACATTCATCGAGACCAAGTAAAAGTGTCCATGGTTGCAGCATCACAGTCCAGGAATTTATTGTATAATATAGGTGAGTCCAAGGACCTTCCTCCGATGATTATCGGAAGAAGGATGCAACTTACATATTCATTCGAGAAACATTTAGCATTGCTGCGCTGCGTGCTTGAACAATTTAAAGTTCGCCCTCAGTAACATATTTGTCTTTGACATTGTAAACCTTTTATGTAGAATTTTACCCGACAAGCATGTTTCGTAATCGAAGAACTGCGGTGCAACACGATTTTAATCGCGTTTAGTGTTAGGACGAGCCACATCAGCGGTTCAAGTCCTAGAACGTCTTAAGCTCGTCTTTATTTCAACCTCTCTGTGTTTCCGTGTTCCAGATGATAGGTGTAGCTCATTGAGTGGTGCCCTCGCGACAGCACAGTCACAACGCGGCGGGGGCGGCAGTGTCGCCTTGTTATGACAGAACGGGGCCCAGGTCGTCTTCCCGGCGTCAGTTCCTCTGTTGGCTCGACCTACACTCGGTCAGAGACCTTTGGAGAGTCGCAGTCCTCGCCTCCGATAGGCCGGCCAGGCGACTGTGCGAAGCTGTGTCTGCGGAGGTACCGTCGCTCAGTCTGCGGCCACTGTGATATATGATTAATGTGGCATTATGTAATACATCATCCGTGTTTACAGTGTGGTTTCGTACGCAGCTCGAGTGTCGTTACAAATGCATTAGCGATGCGTTGTGTCAGCAGTCGTGATGGATTGGCCAAGCGACCGCTGCACTGTTGCGTCAACGATAATCAGCTGTGCACGGTTCAAAGTCTTTTGAACTTACACTACTGACGTGTCAGTATCACAGTATGTACTCTCACACGCCGAGTTTTCCAGTCGATATGTATTACAACGATAATCTGTGGCATCATGTCAAAGGGCCGCAAAGCCGGAGCCCAACCGGGCGCGACACGATTAACTTGTTCAGACGTTGGCTCAGCGCAGCCCGTCATGTCGGAGCTGCCAGCCCTGAGCTCGGATGAGCCAAAAGCTAAAGGTGCTCGGCTCAGTCGGAGCCGGAGTCACACCCCTGCCATACGAAAGTTACGGAGTCTGTCGGACGGCAACGTTCGTGGCCGGAGCGGCGCCAGTATCACCAGATTGCCAGTTCCATCACATGCCAAATACACACACCGGTAAAGCTTCCTCCACAGCAGACGGTCCCCCGTGTCTCAGCGACGCCCGCCCTGTGTCCCAAAGACGGTCGCCCCAAGTCACAGACCCCGTGTCTCTAAGGACACCGGCGACAGAACGTATCTCAGCGTACACACAAAACCGCTCGGAGCCGTCCCGCACTACAACGAGACACCCTGTCGTCATTCGGCAATGCCCTGCATCCTCTCATACTCAGAACTGTTGAACCCAGCCGGGCGTGTGGCACACGTCGTGAAGTGACGTCAAACATTCATTTGATGCCGTCACAGTGATTGGTGCATTCCCAGCTCTCGTGACTCGTGGCGTGCGTGACTTATAACTCTCGCGTCAGCTCCTCTCTCAAGCATCCACCATCCACTTTGGCACCATCTACCCATAGAACTAACGCCAATACATTTTACTCACTCTATGTTTGGCCAAATCTCACAGACAGGTCGCACACCCAGTTGATTCTCACGCCACTGAGGACCTCTCCTCGGCCCCATAGTTCAGATTCTCACCTATACCGGTGAACGGAATAATGTTCTCACCGCCCTCTGTCATATTTATCTCACCCACGCGGCTCACCAGTTTTATCGCACTGAGTAGGGACGGCACGTGACTCAGCTGGTGACCACTCGGAAAACACCTCCGGGGGAGCGGGTTCACCGCCGTCTCCGCTGGGCGGCCGTGATCATCATCTTCTTCAGCACGGGCTGCGGCTCGCAGTGGCGCGGCTCGCAGTCCATCTCTCCGCTACGGCCGCACCTGGGAGCGGAACGGCCCCGCGTTACCAGAGGGTCGCAGTTGGCAGACAAATGCAAACGGTGGACAGAAGGCGTGGGTAGGTACTGGGTACAAAGACTACCTATGCGCGTGGGTGTTGGCTGTTCGCAGTAGGTGCTAAGTGTGAGAGCGTTATTGTGCTGGCGCACGGTCAACGCTAATTTAATCACCTGAACATCCGCTGATGGTTTCATCCAATCGTCTTGATCTAAATACATCTAAAAAACATCCCATGTGCATGAAGAATCTATAGCTATCCGTACCGCAATGATAAACCTGCCGCTAGGTGGCACAAGTAGTGAACGCCTGAAGTTATACTGTGCCGCACGACAGTTAGTTTTAGATTTGCCGCAAGATGGCAGTAACAGCCACGTGGGGGACGAGTGTGGAGTGTAGACTGCAGTGCATTCGCTTTTATTTACTTCAACAGCAAGAGTACTGCTGAGTGCTGGCGCTATTTGCCTTCAGATTTTGCGTTTTACGTTATGAAAGGACGGAACAATGGCGGTTAGGCGTGGGATGGGCTGGCCGCGATAATTATATCCAGCACGGTCAGCTGCAAAAACAATGCCTTACGCACTGCGCAGTCTTCCTGTGGCGCGATCGTCGGCACGACACGTGGCCATCGTTCGTGGGTAAGTACCTAGTGCATTTTTCTATAGATGGAAATTGCTTGAAAATGTCTTTTCCATCTCTTTATTCTCTCCAACCCGGCCCGTGTGTTTTTTTTATGCTGCGCCATATTGGAAAGACCTACGGAGCTATGAAGGAAAAACTGATCAAACATTATTGTTAGGAGGTGGCATGGGAGTAATTTACCCGGTACAGTGACAAAGGACAACGCATTTAATAAATAAAGGACTTAGGTGATATAAAGGTATTCGAATTCTGGTCTGGCGATTCCGGAGTAACTTGACTGGTGTTTCTCGTTTTACTTTCTACATTGTGCCAGAACAAATATTGAAATTGCACCGCGCGGCAGTGCACGGGCGGGTGGTGACTGACCTGCATTCGAGGCACGGCCCGGAGGACGACTCGATGAGCTCGCCGGCCCGGTAGGTGGCGCCCTGGACGGTACAGTTGGCCGCTGGCTCGCCTGGCGGCACCACCGTCGGCGGCTCGGTGCCCTCCTCGTCCACGGGACACTCGTAGCGCGGGCAGCAGAAGCCCACGATGGGCTGCTCCACACAGCCGGGCACCGGCGGCGGGCACGACTGCTGCAGGCAGATGATGTCGCCGCGGAAACAGAAGCAGAAGTCGCACGGGTCGTCCCGCGCGATCTGCTGCGCCGACGCGTAGATTTTGCCATCAAACAGACAGGTGCCGACGGGCACTGCGCCCTGACTGGCGATGGCGGCGGCGGCGGCCGGCTCCGGCGTGGCCACCTCGGCGTCCGTGATGTCGGTGGTGTTGGCGAAGGCGTCGGCGCCGACCGAGGAGAGGATGTCGAGCGTCTCGTTGGTGACTGATATCAGCGGGGACTCGGGCTGGTCGGAGGTGTCATTGGTCAGCCTCAGGTTCGGCGTGGAGTAGACGATGGTCGTGTCGAACGAGCCCGGTGGCCTGGAAGGACTGCCAGGGGTCTCGGTCTGAGTGCCTGTAACATCAGCTGGAGCGTCTGAGGCTTCAGCCGGTGTGTCAGTGACTTCACCTGGAGCTCCCGTGGCATCAGTGCTTGAGAACTCAGCTGGAGCATCTGTCGAGTCAACCGTTGTGTACGTGTCTTCAGCCGGTTCGCCTGTTGCTCCAGCTGGTGTGCCTGAGGCATCAACCTGTGCGTATGTGGTTTCGGTTGGAGCATCTGTGGCTGCATCTGCTGCATCGGTGGCTTCGTATGGTGCTTCTGTGGACCCGTATGGTGCGTCGGTGACTGGCGTCTCGGTGCTTGTGGTGACCTCCAATGACCCATCTGTGCTTCCATACGGTGTTTCTGTGACCTCAGTCGCTGCATCTTCCGGCTGACCCCCGTACAGTCCGGTCGGGGTAGTGTCGATGATCTGAGCTCCCGGGACATCCTCAGTCGCTGACTCAGCTCCAGTTGACCCTGTGGGATCGGACTCTGACGAGAGTTCTTCCGGCTCGCCGCTGCCCTCAGCCTTCACGGCTTCGTCCACTGGCTTGACGGGCGGTCCGCCGTTGGTGGCAATCTCGTTATACTCTGGCTCTGCGGTCGCCGGTTCCGTGTCCGCTGTGATGTCAGTGAGATTCGACTCGGTCGTCGGAGCTGACTGCTGCGTGTCGCCGGCGGCGGAATCCTCGGACTTTGCGTTCTCGGTGTCCTCTGTCGGTTTGAGGCCTACCGCTTCGAGGAGAGCATCTACGGCAGGCGTTTCCGTGGATGGTTCGGTGGTGTCGGCGGTCACTGTGGTGGTATCGGCGCCATCAGCGTCTGTCACAGGCTCAGTGATATCAGTATCAACCGTTGACTCAGTGGTGCCAGACGTAGCATCCGATCCTGTAACGTCAGTCGGAGCGGTAGAGGATTCAGAGGGTTCTACTCCAGCAGCCTCAGTGGTGCCATCGGCGATAGTCGTAGCGTCGACGCCGGTAGTGCTCGTTGAGGGCTCTGTTGCCTCAACTTTGGTTGACTCTATGTCGCCGGTTGTAGCGCCTGTGGTGTCGGCGTCTGTGGGGTATTCGGTGGTTGTATCACCAGTCACATCGGCGCCGTCGGGACCGGTGGCGCTCTCTGTGGCGTCAGACTTTGTAGCAGGTTCAGTGGTTCCAGAGCTGACCGTGGTGTCAGTGCCCCCGGTGCTTGGCTCAGTCGGGTTAACACCAGTTGCCGGCTCCGTGGCATCAGCACCCGACGAAGCTTCAGAGGCATCTGTTCCCGAAGTCGCTTCTCTGGGATCGGTGGAGGTGGTAGGCTCGGTAGAATCAGTGTCTGTTGTGAGTTCACCGTCTGTTGTGACCTCAGCGTCAGCGCTGGATGTAGACGGAATGCCACCACCAGTAGTTGGCTCTGCAGTTACTTCATATGAAGTGCTAGACTCGACATCATTAGTTGTATTATCAGTGTCAATGGTATTTGCACTGCTGTCTTCTGCTGCGAACACAGGCGTAGAACTGCTTGTGGTAGACTCAGAGGCACCAGGCTCAATGGAGGATCCACCGTCAGCACTGGTCGGATACTCTGTGATATCAGCATCTGTGGACTCAGCAACAGCACCGGTAGTGGATTCAGGACTACCAGTGGTAGACTCAGCACCAGCATCCATGGTAGGCTCAGCGTCAGAGCTAATTGTGAGCTCAGCACCAGGACTTAGTGTAGTCTTCGGACTATCAGCACCAGTCGTTACCTCGGTAGCGTAGTCCCCAGCGGAATACTCAGTGTCAGCAGTCTGCGTCACAGACTCGGTAGTGTCGGTGTCAGTGGAAGACTCGGTGTCGATGCTGGTAGACCCGGAAGCGCTTGCCTCGGTAGCATCAGGCGCAGTGGTAGAATCAGAGCTCGTGCTGGTGTATTCCGTGGCACTGGCATCGTCTGCGGATCCCACAGCAGTCGTGACTTCGACTACGTTATCGCCAGTGGTAGGCTCAGAAGCGGAGCTTGATGTAGTCGATTCAGCGATGACGCCGTTCATGGTGACCGTGGAATAGTCGCCCGTGATGGAGACTGTGCCATCTTTGTCGGTCGTTACCTCAGTGGCTCCTACATCGGTGGTGGGCTGTGTTGTGTCGGGAACTGGACTGGGCTGGGTCGTCTCAGCTACAGACGCCGACTCGGTGGCATCTGCGTCCAGAGAAGGCTGAGATACATTAGATTCATTCGCTGACTCCGTGACTGCGGCAGATTCAGTGGTACCAACTTCAGCCGTAGACTCGGTGTCAGCACCTGTCACAGGCACTGTAGTATCGACATCAGCTGGGTACTCGGTAACATTTGCACCAGTATCAGTCTGAGTAGTCTCGGCACCAGTAACGCTCTCCGTAGTTTCAGCTCCAGTGGCCGGTTCGGCGGTAACCACTGTCAGGGCGGGCTCGGTGGTACTGTCTGAGCCCTCCGTCGACTGCTCCCGTGGCTGTTTCGGCGGCTGGCGGCCACCTTCCTTCTCCAGTGCCGTGTCGGTGCCGACTGTCGGCGGCGCGGTGGTGGCCGGCGTCATGGCCAGGCCGCTGATGCTCAGCGTCTCGGTGACGGGAGCAGGGGTGGTCGGCGGTGACGTGGTGACGATCACAGAGCCCGGCTCTGGCCCCTCACTGGTGTCCTCCGCCCGCAGTCCCAGACTGTCCAGCACAGACACGTCTGCAACGAAACCAACATTAAACATGGTCAGAGTGACACATTGGAGGAATTCAGTGAGTAAAATTTGAGACACTTTTTTAAATTAATAGGCTACGTCATAGCCTAATGGCTAAAAGTCTATGAATTTATATGTTAATATCTGTGCCAGTCAAGCTTAATTCGTTAATAGCGCGGAACGGCCGTCTTACCGCAGGAGTACTCGCTGGGACAGCAGAGGCCGGGTGCTGGCGGCAGCGGCTTGCAGTCCCGACCCTCCAGCTCCGGCGGCAGCTCGCACAGCCTCTTGGCGCACACCACCTGACCGTCCAGGCACAGGCAGTACTGGCACGGGTCCTCGTGTGGCACCGGGTCGTTCTCGGCGTAGATGGAGCCGTTCTCGTAACATTGCAGGGACACCAGAGTAGGAGGCTCCTCCGCTGCAAATACGAAAGGCATCATGTCAGCTTCGGTTCTGAAGGAAGCAGCAATAAGTGAAAGTGACGATTACATTTTGGTAGCTACATATTGAATCGTCAAGTTTAGAATGGGATGTAAAATTTGACTATTGTGTGATTTTTTACATTTGCACCCTGCTTAAATGGGCGGATATATTTAGTGAAGATAAATAGCTGCGTATCGCTAAATGACGGACATTCCTGTCCCTCTCCCTTGAGACGGTAAAGAACTCTGTTCTGCTTGCATTGCCTATCTATGTATTTGGTGGACACCGTGCCCACGTCATGCTTACCGCAGTCATATGCGGGGCAGCAGGCTCCCTTCTGGTAGTACGGTCGGCAGGATCCCTCGGGCGCCACCGGACACTTGCGCGTCTCGCAGTTGACGACCGAGGCTCGGCAGACGCAGCTCAGCTGGCACTGGCTGCTGGTGGGCACGTCCTCGCCGTCAGCGTACGTCGTGCCGTCCACCAGACAAGAGCCCTCGCCGGGCACCGAGCTGTCCTCCAGCGGCGGACTGGCGTCGGACGGAGACGGAGAGTCCGACTCAGGCTGAGTGGCGGCCTCACCGGACGGGACTGCGGCGTCTGTTACAGGCTCGGTGGTACTTTTACCAGAGGGAGCAGCGGCATCTGTCACAGGCTCGGTAGCACCAGACGAAGCTTCGGCAACAGTCACAGGTTCAGTGGTACCATCACTGGACCTAGCTGCGGCATCAGTCACAGGTTCCGTAGTGCTGTAACCAGACGAAGCTGCGACATGAGTCACAGACTCTGTGGTACCATCACTGGACGTAGCTGCGGCATCAGTCACAAGCTCTGTGGTACTACTGGTGTAGGAAGTACCTGGTTCTGTAACTGGTTCTGCAGTGCTATCACCGGGCGCAGCTGCGTTATCTGTCACAGCCTCGGTGGTACTGTCACCAGACGTAGCCGCGTCACCAGTCCCAGGCTCGGTGGTACTGTCAGCAGAGGGACCTGCGGTATCTGTCACAGGCTCGATGGTGCTGTCACTGGACGAAGTGTCAGGCACTGTCACTGGTTCAGTGATACTTTCACCAGACGTAGTCTCGGTGTCAGTCACAGACTCTGTAGTAGCGTCAAGAGACGGAGCCGCGCCGTCTGTCACAGGCTCTGTGCTACTATCGCTGGATGAAGCGTCAGGCCCCGTAACTGGTTCTGTTGCACTATCTCCAGATGGAGTCGTTGGTTCAGTAACTAGCTCTGTAGCAATATCGTTTGATGGAGCTGTCGGTTCTGTCATCGGCTCTACGGTGGCGTCACGCGACGGGTCTACATATTCCGTCGTCCCAGGCTCGACAGCATCGCTACTTGATGGAGCTGATGAGTCCGTCACTTCTTCTGAAGTATCAGCAGTGGATGTAGGCGCAGATTCCCTCACCACCTCGCCATCCGCCTCATTCGGCTGAACCACAGATGTGGTCGTTTCAGTACTAGGTGGGACAGTAGATTCCGTTTCTTTTTCGGTCATGTCGGTACCGGACGGAGCCGCAGATTCTGTCACTGTCCCGGTCACAAAATTGCTAGATGGATCTACATATTCTGTTGTCTCAGTTTCGGTGGTAGAGTCGCTTGACGTTGCAGCAGCTTCGGTGGTGGAATCGGTGCTGGACGGACTGGTCGATTCTGTTACAACCTCGACAGTGGTATCACTCAAAGAATCCGTGGTCTCAGGCTCCTCACTAGAGGCGCTGGACGAGGTTCCAGATTCTGTCGTTGACCCATCACCAGACGTAATTGTGGCTTCCGTGACGAGCTCGGCAGTGACAACACTGGGCGGAACAGAATATTCTGTAACTGGCTCTGTAGCAGAGTCAGTGGATGAAGTTTCCTCTTCCGTCAGCCCAGGCTCAGTGGAAACAGCACTAGACGTCGCTTCAGATCCTGTCACTGACTCCGTAACGGTGTCACTGGACGGAGCTGCAGACGCAGTCACAGGCTCTGTGGTATCACCACTGGACGGAGCTGCAGACTCAGTCACAGGCTCTGTGGTAGCACCACCACTGGACGGAGCAGCGGATTCTGTCTCAGGTTCTGTGGTAGCATCACTGGACGGAGCCGTAGACTCTGTCGCAGCACCACTGGACGGAGCTGCAGAATCTGTCACGGGTTCTCCGGCTTCATAAGACGTTGCGGGCTGCGTGGTCTGTTCATAGATTTCAGTTATCGGAGTCTGTGATGTTTCTACCGTCGACGTGCCATAGGATCCAGTTTCTGGGATGCTCACTACAGGCGCCGAAGTACTCGTTGGTACGACCTCAGCCGCCTCGATGTTGGTAGCGGGACTGGTGACATCTTCTCGAGATTTGCGTTCATCGTCAACCAGGTGCAGGAGTGGGTACAGGATGTCTTCGGCGATGGAGTCAGGACCGGCAGTGCCCGCGGATGGGGGCGCTGGGGAACTACTGCCCTCTGTGACCGGCTGACTCGTCGGCTCTATGCCATCCGTGGAGGAAGCGGGCGTTGACTCATCTTCTCCCGCCAACTGACTGGCGCTGTCTGGTGCGACACTCTCCGGTGTTAGCTGGTCTCCAGGGCTGTACACATCAGTAGGTGACTCGCTGCCAGTTGGGCTATCGGTAGGTGCAGTATCCTTGATAGTTGTGACTGATTCGTCGTTGCTTACGACATCGGTCGTCTCAGATACTGGCTCCTCAGTCACACTTGTTTCTGAGCGATCTGTGGTTTCAGGAGGGCTGGGAATATCTTCCAACGCCGTAGTACCAGTACTGGAATCCGTGGCAGTATCGGTTACTCCATCCTGAATGGGCACAACGGGCCCACTCGTCGTATATTCCTCGGCAGTTTCAACTTCCGTTGTTTCGATGCCCGGTTCACTTTCGAATGGATCTGTGGGGTCAGTCGTGCCTCTAACTTCCGTGGTAGTGGTATATGGTTCCTCACTTGCACTGGTTTCTGCAGTCTCGTAAGGTTCTGCTATACTGACCGTGCTTTCTGACACTGTAGTACCATAGCTCGATTCCTCCCCCACATCGGTCCCCGAGCCTTCACCAGATTCTGTAGGGCCGACGGCACTATCTGGATTCTTCGGTTCGTAAGTTGGTTCATCACTTGCATTGACTCCGGATCCCTCGAGGAATTCTGTAGGACTGACGGTTGTTTTTGCCCCAACCTCTACAGTCCCAGCATATGGTTGCTCGATTTCGTCCGATGCCGGCTCAGAAGTGGTTTCCGTCACAGCAGTGATGCCCTCAGTAGTATAATCCTCAACGTAATCTCCAGAGGACTCCACTGAAGCGGAAGTGCTCTCGGATGTTGGTGACGCAGTTACATCTTGTTTTGATGTGGTGGTCTCAGCAGAAATAATGGAAATGCTGGATTCTGTTGTCTCAGGAGCGGTATCCTTCGTGGTGGTCGGGGCTCCATCCCCAGAGCCGTCTACACCATCCTGTTCAGCAGGACTATCGGTTTGCTCGGGCGAAGATGTCGCTGCATTGGTGTCACCGGTTGCGTCTGTCCCGAATGGAGTGGTATCAGGCTCTGTCGATTCTACCACAGATGAAGTGGTATCGATATCTGACGGGGTCGCTGCAGCCTTGTCTCCCTCTAGGCTTCCAGAACCGTCTTCGGTACCTTGAATTAGTCCAGCCTTCGCTTCCTCGTTTCCAGGCGCCTCAGTAGAAGTGTATTCCCCATGAGTAATGCCGAGAAGCTGATCAATCAAATCATCTCTCGTTGTGGGAGAAGTGGTGGCCTCTTCGGCAGGTAAAGCAGTAGTGCCAGGCTCGGTTTGTCCCATGTCTTCCACAGATATACTGGGCGTCTGTGTGGTCTCTTCATAAATTACTACAGGTGCCTCAGTCGTAGCATCAGTAGCCTCAGACGTAGCGTTGGGAGATTCGGTTGATCCCAGACCAAGAGCGTCGGTTATGGTATCAAAAATGGAGCCAAAGTTGGGGAATACATTTTCGTCAACATTTTCTGTAGTGGGCTCTGTGCTTTCCTCTGAACCAATGAGAAGCTCAGACTCTGTGCTCTGTATAGTGTCATCGCCATAAACTTCACTAGCAGCGGTGCTGGTGGTTGTCTCTACATCAGACACGGTAGTTGATTCGGCCTCAGTTGCTGTGTCTACGGCAGTGACAGTACTCGAGGCATGACTGGTCTCACCTTCTACATCCACGCCAGCAGGAGTCGTGGTTTCACCAGGCCCAGCGGTTGTCGTTGCTTCAGTAATGATTTCTATGGATGGTCCTGCTGCGGTGGTTGCCTCTGCCTCAGCCGCAAGCACTGTAGTAGCACCGGCCTCATCGGGTAACGATCCTTCAGTTGTAGGTCCCGTGGTCGGCCCAGTCTGGGAGGCAACATACGCATCAGTGTCAGCCTCTGAGGGAGGACCAGTCTCCGTAGATGTATTTCCTACAGTGACAGATTCCGTTATGGAGGAGAACTCTTCCGTGACTCCTTTCTCTCCATTGACAGATCCCGTGGTAGTTTGCTTGTCACTCTCCCAGATCACCACGGGAACATACTCGGGGGTCGTTTGAGTTGTTTCCTCACTCCCTGAGCCTTCCTCATCGCTAATCGCAGACCCGGGCTGTTCAGTTTCCGCGGAGCTACCGTCTCCGCTGGCCTCGAGGACCGGACCAGCCTCGTCAGCGTACCTGCCCTCAGGAGCACTCGTGTCAGCCTCGGGGGCTTCTTCAATGGGGCTGTCTGTGGGAACAACTCCACTGGAAGCATCTTCAGTCACGTCCGTGTTCTCTGGGATCTCTGTGGTTGGCCTCTCGACACCAGGTGCCTCGGTGACAGTGGTTGACTCAATGGGGACAGCCGTCTGTTCTTCCTGATCTGGTCCTTGGCCAGAGCCGTCTATGGTTGGGCCGCTCTCTTGATCATAGGGGAGACTGGGCTCTGTGGTGCGATCGAGAACGCCATCGATTATTTTCAGAATATCGCTCTCTTCCGTCTGGTCCTCAGCAGCACCAGCATTCACCGTGGTTCCCTGCGAGCTGTCGGGCTCAGTTGACGGAGACGCAGGAGCGACAGTCGTAGAGTCCTCAACTTGTATTATGTTGCCCTCGGTTGTGGTTGGAATGCCGAGAAGGTCTTCGAATGTATGTCCTTTGGGGCGAATGATGCCGTCGGGTCTGCTCTCTACTGGTGATGTTGTATCACTAGCCTGATCACCTGACTGCTGCCGTTCTGTGGTCGTTTCGTCAGCAGCCTCAGTGGTTAGACTGTCATCAGTGGATGGAGTGCCATCTGTCACCAGTGGGTTTTCGTTTCCAGAGACAATCGGCTGCTCCATTTCAGTAGTCTGAGGTGGCTCTTCTCCCGATCCAGAGCCTTCATCCAGTGTTTCGGATCCGGGGGCTAGGACCGTGGGATACAGTTCGTTTGCTGGGCTCACGGAAGACTCGCTTGAATCTGTACCAGGATAAGACGTTTCAGCGCCTTCACTTGTTGGATATTCATATCCTGGGACAGTCGTTCCGGAACCTTCAACTGAATCACCGGCTGTCGCCTCTTGTTCCTCGACAGGAGTCGTGTATTCCGGGACAGTCGTGGCGTCTGGCGTAGCCGAGCTTTCTTCAGTGGTGGCTATGTCTGTGACAGCTGAGCTGTCTGGAACTGTTGTGCTGTCTGGAGTAGCAGCGTCTTCGGCAGAAGTGCTGTCGTCCGAGGTCGTCTCCAGATCGAGAGCCGCTGAAATACAAACGGTGGTCAGATTTCGCCAGTGTTCTCATTTTCGCAAATATTGTTGTCTATTTATTTAGTCGAATTTAGACATGCATCTAGTGTTTTTTATGTACGGAAATATTTTAATGCAAAGGATGCCAGTGGAAGAATTTTACGTGATTTAAGATCGTACTCCAATGTCATATTACTATTAACAAAACCATTGACATATTAATTTATCATGCATTGAAAGTCTGGAAAAGGCATTTATCAACATTAATTTGAATAGCCATGCTGGAACATGTTTTAAAACGATAACAGTCTACAATTATAGTACAGCAAACTTTCACCTCGCAAGCTAATAATCTTGAAAATTGTTTTTCACGTGCATCGTAAAGTGTACAATCAAGCGTATTAGCGCTGAAAAGTCCTGCATTTCAGAACGCATGCATACCTGGTGTGGTTGTGGCGGGCTGTTCTGGATCTGTGCCCTGCTCCGACTGCCCCGAGGTGCTGTATGCACCGCTGTCGGGACTGAGGGTGGTGGGGGATGCGGTGCTCGTGCTGGGGACAGGATAGTCGGGACCACCTGTACCGGGTGCGGGAAGGTCGGCGGACGCTGGAGGCTCGAATCTGGGAGGGGTGGCGTCAGGTGACTCGGTGGTCGTGCCTGGGGCTGGTACCGAGACAAGGGGACCCTCCGTGGTCGGCTCGGTGGCGACGGGCTCATCAGCTGCTTCTGTGTATCCACTTCCCTGCACGTCAAGGTCTCCCGAGTCACCGGTTCGGCCTTCGATGAAGTACTCTTCAGGTCCGGAGCCCTCAGTTTCAGCTGCTGGACTGTCTTCTTCCGATGGGTAGCCTACATCTGTTCCGCCAGTCTCAGTACTTTCTGCTGCTGTGCTGTCTGATGGTCCAACTGGCTCAACTGGGGTGGCATCCGATGGCCCAACTGCCTCGACTGTGGTGGCATCAGACGGTCCAATTGTGTCTACTGTTGTGGCATCATATGGTCCAACTGGCTCGACTGTGATGGCATCGGATGGCTTAGCTGGCTCAACTGGGGTGGCATCAGACGGTCCCAATGTGTCTACTGTTTTGGCATCATATGGTCCAACTGGCTCAACTGTGGTGGCATCAGATGGTCCAACTGGCTCAACTGTGGTGGCATCAGACGGTCCAACTGTGTCTACTGTTGTGGCATCCGACGGCCCAACTGTGCCAACTGTTGTTGCATCATATGGTCCAACTGGTTCACCTGCGGTGGCGTCAGATGGTCCAACCGTGTCTATTGTTGTGGCATCATAAGGTCCAACTGGGTCGACTGTGGTTGCATCATACTGTTCAACTAGGTCAACTGTGGTGGTATCATATGGTCCAACTGGCTCGACTGTGATGACATCAGATGGTCCAACTGGCTCAACTGTGGTAGCATCATATGGTCCAACTGGCTGGACTGTGGTTGAATCATATGGTCCAACTGTATCTACTGTGGTGGCATCAGATGGTCCAACTGGCTCCACTGTGGTGGCATCAGACGGTCCAACTGTGTCTACTGTTTTGGCATCATATGGTCCAACTGGTTCAACTGTGGTGGCATCAGCTGGTCCAACTGGCTCGACTGTGGTGGCATCAGATGGTCCAACTGGCTCAACTGTGGTGGAATCAGACGGTCCAACTGTGTCTACTGTGGTGGCATCAGACGGCCCAACTGTGCCAACTGTTGTTGCATCATATGGTCCAACTGGTTCACCTGCGGTGGCGTCAGACGGTCCAACCGTGTCTACTGTTGTGGCATCATATGGTCCAACTGGCTCAACTGTGATGGTATCAGATGGCTCAGCTGGCTCAATTGTGGCGGTATCAGACGGTCCAACTGTTTCTACTTCTGTGGCATCATAAGGTCCAACTGGCTCAACTGTGGTTGCATCATACTGTTCAACTGGGTCAACTGTGGTGGTATCATATGGTCCAACTGGCTCGACTGTGATGACATCAAACGGTCTAACTGGCCCAACTGTGGCAGCATCAGACTGTCCAATTGCGTCAACTGTGGTAGCATCAGATGGTCCAACTGTGTCAATTGTGGTGGCATCAGACTGCCCAACTGAGTTGACTGTGGTAACATCAGATGGTCCAGCTGTGGCGACTGTGGTGGTATCAGACGGTTCAGCCGCACCGTCTGCCGAATTAGCTGTTTCTTGTTCTGAAGTAACTTCAGAAGGGCTAGCTCGCTCCGTGGTGGTAGCAGGGCTATCTGTGCTCTCATATACAGGAGATTCAGAGGGACTTGTGCTTTGTTCTAGAGCGACATCAGATGGGTTGGCTGTGCTGCTGACGCTTGGCCCGGTTGTCCTGTCGATTGTTTGATCTGCGCTCTCCAGTGACGATGGAGCCTCGGAACCGGATGGTTCGGGAACCTCCGCTGAAGTCTGTAAAGGACCCTGCGCAATGGACGATGGCTGATCCGCCAACTGCTCCGGCTGCGTGACATCACTCACACCCTGGCCTTCAGTAGGCTCAGTTGGTGTCACCTCATTGTCGTCCACTGCAGTTGTGGTCGCTTCACCGCCGTCCACTGCAGTCGGTGTCACCTCACTGTCGCCTCCTGTAGTTGGTGTCACCCCAGTGCGGTCCACTGCGGCTGGTGTCACCTCACTGCGATCTGTTGCAGTTGGTGTCACCTCGTACCCGTTTTCAGCGCCCGGCGCCAGTCCGCTGCCATTTTCGATCCCTGGGGCCAGCTCCTCTCCTGTGACTTCGTTCTGGTAGTCGAGCAGGTCCTCGAGTCGGTACTGTTTGTCGGGCAGTGGCGTCGTGCTCTCTCCGGGGCCGAGCTCGCTAGGGGTGGACTCGGTGTCACCAGTGACGGTGTTGCTGTCGGTGCTGGGGGTGGTGGCGCTGTCCGGGACCGGTGGAACTTTCGTGGCGTCGCTGCCTGTGACCGGGTCAGCCTTGCCTTGTGTTGTCTCGGCGCCGCTGCCTGTGTTCGTACTCGCCGTACCCTGTGCGGGATCGGCAGTACTGTCATTCTGGTCGCTCGGGGCATCCGCGGTGGGGCCTTCCGCCTCGCTGACATCCTCTGCAGATGTCGCATCCACGACAGCTGAACCCTTCGTTATTTCACTAGTTGCGGGAGCATACTCGGTGGTGCTTCCTTCGGTCCCGTCTGTCTGCGTTGCATCAGAACTGACTTCCGTGGCGCCTGCCGCAGTTGCAGTTGTGGATTCCGTGCTGCTAGTTTCGGTCGGGGCACTGAGTTCTGTAGCGTCGGTCTCAGCCGCGGTGCTGGGTTCCGTGACGACTGCCTCAGTCGCGGTGTTTGGTTCTGTGACATCTGTTTCAGTCGTGATATCGATGTCCGTGATGCTAGTTCCAGTCGTGCTGGGCTCGGAGCTCTTGTTGACGCTAGCGTCCGAGGCATCTGGGGTGGAAGGGGAGATTGTCTCAGTGCGGGGCGGGTTAAACTTGGTCCACGAGGGGTGCTTTGGTGATGTAACTATGTTACAGAATACCTACAACATGCTACATATATCACAATCGTCTTCAAAATGGAGGCAAGCGTAAACAATTATATGAACAGGTGTGAATGTATTTTACAGGTGACATGTGCATGTTAAGACACTGAAACTAACAAACGATTTGCATGATCCAGCTACAAACAAATAGCAATGCACGAATGTCAGTGTTGTGTCCAATCCGCAAACAACCGTGCAGTCCGTGATTCGTGAATATGGAAATGTGCTTCATGCTTTCCATGTGATACTGTTACCTTAATCGGCCAGCTGTCTACATTCATACATGGGTGTCATGTTACCGGTACCTTCTAAATCACATTACACAAAGACATTCTCATTACTGAGATCGGACGATCGTCCTGTCAAGACATCGGGCACCTCCCTTTAGGCATGCACCCATGCCGGTTCGCTATGTCACGACAGCAGACTGGTAATCAGTGACATGCGGTCTACCGGAGATTGCTAGGGGACTGCAACTAGGGAAATTACCGTGGTCCGGTGTCATGTTATGGTATCCCAGATGTCTGGCACCCTCATCCTGTCGTATAGATGGGTCGCCTGGAAAGCACGGACAGGCGGACTGGAAGATTTGAAGCAGCGACTGATGATCACCGACTTACCTCGACAGACAGACTTGGTTGAGCCACCGAGCATAATACACACGTGCACAATGACGCAGAAAGACAAAGAAGAACATGTCGAGTGCGAGATGGGACCAACCACATCCTCGCAATGAAGACTTGGTATTTGTATTCAGACATTGAGTATTTACAGCAACATATCCATTGAGAATCAAAAGACTTCAGGCGAAGATCACGATCGGACCATCGACATTCGACAGTGCACAGAAGAAACAAATAAGAAGCGTACAATAAGAGGTACACGCCGAGCGTGTTTGGACAAACAGGAACTTTCCACAAAGTCAGACAGAGACTCACAGACAGCCACCACCTCTGTTTGCCCATCATCTGCAGCTGGCTGTATTTGGCTATCGCACCCCGCCGGCAGACCCGCGGCTCGCCCATGGTGGCGGAGCCGAGCCGTGCCACTCACCACAGTCGTACGTGTCGGGGCAGCACTGGCCAGGGGGCGGCGGCACGGGCCGACACGAAGAGCGCTCGTGGTCCAGTGGCGTGCTGCAGCTGCGCACGGCGCACTTCACCTCGCCGTGCATACAGTAGCAGTGCTGACACGGGTCGGCGCTCGTCACCTGCGGACAGAGAACATGGAAGATGGTGTTTATGTCCGGAGACGCATGGCAATAGAGAGGCGAGAAAATCTGGTCGGCATTAGCCGTTTTCACGACGGCCATCTGGTACAAATTTGGTGCACATCTGGTACAGATTAGGTGCAGATTTGGTCAAATCAGGTTCAGTGTGTCTCTTAGCAGCTATCAGCTAGGGGTGCACTAATTGCTTATTTGCATGCTTTATCATATTATCAAAGAGCATCATCGATTAAAACACTGAAATAAATTCATAAAATGAAGATATTTGCTGTAAAAGAAATTGGGTGCAGATTTGTTCAAATCAGGTGCAATGTGCATTCGCCGGATAGCCCGTCGTGAAAACGGCTATTGGTAAATTCGCGTCTACTTGGATAGAAGCAGATCTTTACAGGGGGTATTGAATGGCCTGAAAATCTTCTCGAGTTATACTCGTATTGTCGGATCAAAATTCGGAACTTGCCATAGGTCGCCAACCATGGCATTATTTCCTCGACGTCGTCTTCGGACTACTTACCGTCTGTGTAATACACTCCGCTGTGTGTGTCTCACCTGTTCTCCGTCCGCGTAGCTGACGCCCTGGTGCAGACAGCCCGCCGACGGGTCCGGCCGCGCCGTTGTCAGCGGAGGCAGCGTTGTCGTCTGGAAATCTGTCAGACACACGCCACGTGTTCGTGTTAGTTCATCGATGGGCATCGTTCCCCGGGCTGATTGGCGGCCACTGTCCACCTGGTGTCAAAATATGCGAATTACACGCCACATCGCAATCTCGATGTGGGTGATATTTCCTCAACTGAAGGTCACTGATTGTTTGCATGGATGACAGGTCGGTTTTTGCTTTGCACCGAAACCGCATCGTCTAAAACCGTTCATAGAAGTGAATAGCGAAATCAAACCGTCAGATTTGACCGATGGCGGGACATGCAATGTCGAACAGCCTGCGCCCCGGTACAGGGGCAGGGGCAGGATGGACGTACCACAGTTATATCGAACGGGGCAGCACACGCCGTCTTCGAACACCGGCTCGCAGCCGGGCACGGACATGGTGCACCGCTGCTGGACGCACGCCGTGTGGTTCCGAATGCAGTAGCAGACGTCGCACGGCTCCGACGGGTCAGACGGAATCTGCAAACACGCCGTTCATTCTTTGTCATATTCCATGTGCCGTTTTAGCAATGCTATCAAGATATATGATTGTTGGTTTTGGGTGTCTGCGAACATTCATGTGCAAGGAGAGCACGCTTCCATTTACATCAATATAACCAAATAATTACGTAAAATTGAGTGCTATCAGAAGCGACCCATGCAGCGTGATGTTATTCATTACGCGCAATTCCCTCTGACGCTGGCCAATAGTCCGACGCCTCTCTCCGCTCACCCACCTGTGCCCCGTCCCGGTAGCTCTGTCCGTCCACTGTGCAGCCCGCCGCGTCGGTCCCGTCGGCTGCCGGCGGCGCCTCCGTCGTCGTCGACGTCGTCGTCGTCGTCGTCGGCTCCGTCACATTAGCGAGTCCGAGCATCGCCATCACGGGAACGGGAACTGCCCAATAGAGTCGACACGGGCAGCGTGACGGTCAGGCGAAAAATGGAGCGCCATCGCCGGCCCGCTTTGGCGATCGGGCGCAGTTAGCGCTTGTTTGGCGTTGCGGTCATCGGCGACTTGCACGAGCGGTAGGCCGCTAGCACATCCTGGACGGCTACGTGCTTTTTCACCGGAAAACAGTGGTTTGATGTGAAAGAAATAGGTAAATGTGGGAAAGAAATGCAGTTTGATAGCTTGTGCTATCATTTATAAGGAGTGTTTACTAGTGGCAGATGCTTAGGCATTCCGAGTAGGGGAGAGCGGGGAGAGTTGTATCATGTCCAAGTTGTATCAGGGCGAATTGTGCCAAACTTATCCAATGGATGGCGCTCGCGACACGACCAGTCGACGAGGTTTTCCGGGCGCCATCTTTCCCTGTTCTGTCTTGTGGCTGAGTGGACGCGTCTCGAGGTGAGAGCCGATTTTATGTTTTTTTAATGTCATTCTAAAAAAATAAGTTGCAAGAAAATATGTGTTCTGGGCATTTAGATGTGCACGAATTTGAAAGATCTCCGTAGCGGTGGTGAGGGTAGGTTCTAAGGCTGCGTGAGTGAAAACGGATTTCTCCAGCTGTCCGCTGTTTTTTAGCACGAGGATGTTTTTTCCAAGATGGCGGCTAGGTACATGTTGTATCAGAGCCGGGTGGGGTATGTTGTAACATGTATGTATGTATGTATGTATGTATGTATGGGTATGTTGCTTTTGATCGCGAAAGCTAAGCCCTGGCTCGCGTTTGTAGGTAGCTAGTCAATGCTCGTTCCATTTCGGCACAATGTGTTGGCTTCTTTGCTCTTAACGGGCCACTTTGGCGTCTAGTCTGTTGATGTATCGTTCGGATTGCATTGACCTAAGTTTGGTCTAATAAAGTGAAGCCTTTGAGCATACCTATACATTGTATTAACCCCATTTAATGTTGTTGTTATGTTCAAAACCAGTAGCAAGCACACTCCCTGAAACGTGAAATAGTGATACAAATTACCCCACCATGTGATACAACTCACCCAAGCCATGGGGCAAGTTGTATCAAAAACATTGTTCTATTCGGGAGACCGTAGAAGAAAAACTGGTAGAGGTAGCGGAAAAGTTACTTTGCACAAAAAAGCAGAAGAATCAAGGAAGGGGATGGTATGGAAATAATGAGTTTATCACGGATAGTTACGAGGTTATGGGTCTCGGAGTAAAAACTGATACAACCCACCCCACTCTCCCCTATGCATGGTGACTGCGGTCTACATCGCAGTCTCCAAAGACGATGGCCATCGTTCGCTGCTCATTCATGTTATGCTATCGCCGGTGAACGTCGAGTGTGCTTGATTTGATGCTACTCCTCACTTCACTTACTTAAGTCTTTACAATTAAAATTAGGTACAGATTATGCTAAAACAAACTTATTAATTCCAGTACGATAACCTATCACATATATCATCGCGTACCATTCGCTGTCTGCTACAAGTGCATAACCGGAAACACTAATTACCTTCAGCTAAATGGCAATAGCGCCCAACTATGTGCTAACTCGCCGTTCTGCGCCTGCCCCGTTGCCGTTAGTTGTCAGTATACCTAGTTTGTATATCGGCCCGATTCGCCCGGCCGTGACACGGGTGGCAGCCAATTGCGGCTGGTATCGGGCCTTTCATCTCGACTGGCCGCCGCTGGTGCTGCCCGCCACGCGCCGGCCAGACCGGTTCGCCCGGCGCATGGCCTCAGCTCTACTTTAATCAATGCCTGTTGACCTCACAGTATCAAAATAAAAGTGGTGTTGATGCAAACCTGCGAAACCGAGACACTTGAGTTAGCATAAATGCTGGGTCTGTTGTGTGATCGGACTCCGCGGTTCGTCGGCTACCGCTCGCCGGCCGGCCGGTCCTGTCGGGTCAGGGCAGCAGCAGCGGCTCGTTCGGTCCGACCGGACCGGGACAGACGCTTTGCGAAAGGAGTGGGGTCACGGCCGACCAGGGACGACCGAGGAGTGGTCGGTGACCGGTGAGGGCTGAGGACATGGCTGTGCCGCTGAGGGTGCGGCGGGGGAGGCGACGACGGTCTGCGGCCAATGGCATGTGGTCCTTTCATGTGCCGAAAACATAGGTGTGCCGTGCCATGGTGGTAGCCTTCGTTTCATGTATTTCCGACTTTTTGCATAAGTGGCTATATGCATGCAACTGTTGTTTTAATAGTCGCGTGCAGTAGCGATTAAATGATACAGGTAGATACACATGATAGAGGCACATTTATGTCGCCGCATGTTTTGTATGCGGTACTTCAGCACTAGTTAAAGTTTGTAGTTATAACTTTTCTGTGACTGATGACCAGCTATCATTGCTATGCTCGATAAAAACCAAGAACAGTTCAATAACCTATGTCTGCAACAAAGTCCGGGATTCAGCCGGCCTCAGAGATTTGACCCACGCAGCTGCGTGTATAAGCGGAATAGAGGAATCCCACTAATCTGGATGAATGCATTTTACGGCCGAGCGGCTGCCTGTTGAAGGGTCCGGTGTGTGAAGGGTCCACATTCCACGTGTGTGGAATGTGGTCGGTGCGGGACAGGACCGGGCGCGGTGGACACTCCGCACACCGGCCGCCGTGCCGCGGGGGCAGCCGCCGTGACCGCTCGACTATCTATGGTGGCGGCGGCACACGCCCCAGGCCGGCCATCCGGACTGTGTGGCCGGCCACCGCCCCGCCCCGGCGCCGGCGGAAGTACAGAGAAACGACGTGACGTCACACTGGAGAGGGTATCGCACCGTATGGAAATTGCACTGCAGCCCACACAGCGGGCTGTAAGCGTCAGCTATACCAGCACAAGAGGCGGTCCATATTTCAGTGTAACTACTAATAGGATGCGTCAAGATTATGCTTCTGAGAACCGATTGTATTCCGGCGCATAATGACGGCAAAGATCTTCACTCCGATTACCGATAACAATAGAATCAGTTCATCATACGGATAACAAACAATAGCGGAATCGGATTCCTATCAATCTGACTGGGGATAGAAGGCAAACGAACAGCGCTCATCAGAGCCGGTGCCGCGCGGCGTTCGCTCACCTTGGTCACAGGTGACGGTCGGGCAGCACTGTCCCGGCAGCTTCTCCGCGGTGCACCCCTTGCTGAGCGGGCGCACGTAGGGGCACACCTTGAGGAAGCACATGTGCATGCTGTCGCGGCACGTGCAGTTGAGGCACGGCTCTCCGGTGACGATCTGCTCTCCGTTCTCGTAGTGGCGCATCATGTGGAAACAGCCGGGCGCTGCGCGGGCCGCGGACGGAGAGAGCGCGTCAGTGGGGAGACCGGCGGCCTCGGCGCCGCGGCACGGGTCAAAGAGAGGTGGCAGGGTCTTCACGGCGACCGCAACTATCCCACGCCCGGCCACCGACCATTAACGGTACGGCTCGAGGCAGCGGCTCGCGCAAACGAAAGCAGACATGATGTGCTTACCATGCTACCAAGATTACCACATTTTCCTTCAGTTTGAACACGAATGATATGATCAGACATATTTATGTTACAAACACTTATACTTGATTAAGCATGTTTCTTTTAACCCATTGCTCGTCTTACTGTCACTGTTCTTATATAGGATGTTTCTCAATCGAAGCAATGTTTAAAATAGCAATCTAAATTCGGCCGAATAACGAGAGGCTCGCGAAGCTACACCATATTCAATGAACATTTAAGTCTAAGTAAAACGGGTGCGACTATTTTTGCTGACAGAGATCTTGCGGGCGTTAAATTCGGCCGAATAACGAGAGGCTCGCGAAGCTACACCATATTCAATGAACATTTAAGTCTAAGTAAAACGGGTGCGACTATTTTTGCTGACAGAGATCTTGCGCGCCCCATTGACTCGGCCCATGACTCGTGGCCGGCGGGCAGGTGTGAGCCCTGTGGCGGCACGGGGAGGGAGGGAGGGGGCGTGCCGACTCACCTGGCGTGGGCGCGTCCCAGTCCAGCGGCGCTGCAAAGATCAGAGGCCGTGAGTATCCGGTCATGTTACGACACGGCCGCGAACGCCGCCGGCCGGCAGGCGCATCTCGACCCACCCCGCCCGGCTCGCGGAGGCTCGACGCGACTCAGGGCGACACAGCGCGACTCAGGGCGACTCACGGCGGGGTCGGGGACACGACGAGCCGACCGATCACCGTACTTCCTCCCGTGAGCCGTGCGGAAACGAGCCGCTCACGATCCCCGGCCCCGGTCCGGCAGGCCCGCGGGTCGCCCCGAGCGCCGCCTTTCACCAGCGCCGGACGAATATGCTCGACCGACACGCTGGATCGTAAATCGCCTCATCCTCATCCGCCCACCCGACACAGTTACCCACATTTATACACTTATTTGTAAACTCCGCATGCTCGGACGATACAATACTTTCAATCTCATTTAGTGGAACGACGAACTCCCATATTCTAGTTCGTATGAAACAGCGCCCACACACACATCAGTATTTAGGTCCAACTTTAATAGCAGCACCACGTAATGCTGATTTTGTCCTTTTCATGACTGACTGAAACTCTGAAAAAAGCAAAGGTGATATCGTTTACCAATCACTCGGCTTGACGACACTTAATCTGAAGAAGTTTCTGGAACAATGGATCTAATAAAGTCCGTGAAGGAAATCACCAACATTCTCTTGTGTGCATTGACAGGCTATGTTCACTTTGTGCAATTGTTCTCAGTTCGCTGCTCTTAACTGTCCGATATTTTGTATTTTACGTGCATTGTGGCTTACATTCTGATGGTTTGTTAGCGGGGTGAATGTGGGTATTTTACTTCACATCAATCGAAAAGCGGGATCTGTATCATAGGTGCCTCAAACTGTGCACAGGCCATAGATATAGATATCCATGCAGCATTGACACTTCCTGCAACTTTCACCAAATCACCATTTATTACACCATCGAAGACCGGTGGCCGCCTCTGCATAGTTATCGGTGCATGTCCCTCTCTGCTGTTTGGTAACGCTCGCCCCCTGTCGTGTGCCTGTGGTGGGGTGCGGGCTGACGTGTCTCGTGAGGCGCCGCGGACGGCCGGGTGGCCGGGGCGGCCTTACCTGGGTGGACGGGGGTGAGCAGCACCAGCAGCAGCAGGCCGGCCGCCAGGGGGACCGCGCTCCCCCAGCGTCCGCTCCCCATCCTGCGGCAGAACGGGCGCCCCACGGTCAGACCGGCCGGCCGGCCGGGGACGGCACACAAGGGCACACGGCAATCGGACGGGCACGAAGCGCCACACGACAGCAGGCTTATCCCATATGGAACCAGGCACTGGTCTGTGTACAGCGGGGGTCGGGTTACGTTTGACATGCGAGGGAAATACCGGTGCTGTGTTGATGCCGACGGTTACAGTGATTGCACGTTATCGACAGTGCTATCAAAAGTATTTAGGGTAATATTTCACAGAATGCAGCTTGTTTACCAAGATGTTCAGAATATCTTTGTGGGCTTCCTCGGCATGTGGCATTGTTTTCAGAATATCTCAATTTAAAATCATTATTTGCCAAATATGCAAGCAAGTCACGACTGGCCGAATCAAGCCAAACATAAGCTTAATCGTTTCTGATAGGAACGTAATCCACTGTAAATGATTGCGAAATAACAGTCACGCTGCTGCTTTCCGCGAAACCTCGGCTATATACGAATAAACAGCGTGTCAACACCACCTATTTCTTGTCCCCACGTGTTGAAGCACCCTGGGCGATTGTTTTGTCACCCAGTATCCAGGCGGGGACGTTGTGACGAAAAGTTCAAGTTACTTCAGCAGTCCATTGTCAGTTCGGTTTTTATAAAGAATATACGTCAGCTTATTAACCTACTGACGGTATGGACTGCTTATTAGGTAATGATAACAGCAAAGCGTTTAACATTCATGCCTAGTTTTGAAATGTGCAGAGTAGCTGCAGACTGCAGCACCCACAAATGGAGCAGGGACCTCTAATACATTTGTTCCCTGCCTTCTGTACCGCCCTCTGATATAGATAGGTGACTGCCGTCTCCGGTTCGGTGACAACAATGGTGTCTCGGAGGGACGGCATACCTGAGCGGCGCACCCGTGGGGAGCACCCACGGGCCGTAACAAACAAGGCCGTCGGTCGGTGTGGGACGGAGGGCGCCGCTGGTGGTGGGATCTCCGGCGGGGCGGCGCGGAGGGACGTGCTATGGGCGCGGGACAGACCTCCGCCCCAGAGCCGGCCGGACCACTCGGGCGGTTAGTGCCCCGGTGTGACGGGATGCTTGTTTAGTCTCCTAAGGTATGCTGAGGCGCTGGGGTTGAGCGAGGCACCGCCATCCTCCGGTGAAGTCAGAGCTCACGGACTCCTTTCTCCACTTGAATGTGTTCCAACCCCGTCAACGGCCAGAGATCCAGCCGGCGTCACCGCCACAGATTCAGCCCGCGTCACCGGCTAGAGATATGTCACCGGCGCGGCGTCGTGGTGGGAAGCTCCCACAACAGCTTAAGTCTAATGGCGGATTTACATAAAGCCGCAGACCAGCGGGGCACTGTACGCGGCAATGTACGGTCGTACGGGTTACAGTACATATGTGATGCTGCCTATCTTGAAGCAGTGTTGGCAGCGGCATTCGGTCGGTACACAATCGTCACAGAGCCGATTGGCAGAGGCATTCGGTCGGTACGGCTGCTGCCACGGCAGGCTCCGCTCCCCGAGCCGCGCCGCCTCAGCCGCGCCGGTCGGTGTCGAGACGGCCTCCGTGTTACATCACATGGCCGATGTCTGGCTGTTGTATAAAACACCGCGGCGTCCGGCGGCACTATGCTAATTTGCCACTGCTGACAAACACTCGTCAGCCGCATCGCCCCGATGCCGTCGGCTTCGGGCGCTCGGTCGGCCTTCGCAGGCTGACCTGTTCCACTCCACCCGCCACCATTGTCGCCTCGGCAATGTGCCGATGTAAAACGGCCACGGCTGCCGAGTCCGGCACTCCCTTTCAGTGGGCATAATGGCGACGGCGGGCGGCGCGGCGGGCTCCTCTCGTCCCGCTGAAGGTAACTGCCACAGAGACGCAGAGACGCTCCAATGATTGCTGGCAATGCTGAAACTGCTCCTCTCCGCTGACGTTTTAATGCGACGAAAATACCTCCCTGACGGTGAGGAACAAGTAGCTGTTTAGGGCGGACTTTAAACAATTGGCACTTTGGAGACCTGAATGCACCGTCTATTGACGAACGCCATCCTACGCAGTTTTAAATACATGCCATGGTTTAGACATATATTGGCTGCCAAAAGCTTAGGGTCATGCAGATCCAGCAGATCCAGCTGTTATTGATCAAGAACGGTAAGAACGTTAGACCCGAAATCAAGCAATGAAACTACCCTTTCTTGGACTAAAGTTAAAATGCTTTCTTGGTCATATGTTTAGCTCAGGGCAATCTCAGGCCTGCGTCTATGCAATATGATATTGCATCAATTTGTAACGGTGAAGTGCAGCAGAAGATATACTAGAACTCACGGCCCATGAAGCACGCCTGGCTATGAAGGCCTTCAGCGTCGCCTAACGGTGCTCCTTATTAGAAACCGTTTAAGAAATCCGTCTAGGGTCAACAATCTCAGTCCGTGGAATAACTGAAAAACGCAACGGACGCCTCTGAGGAAACAGGGGTCGCACACCTATTTGTGACAAAGACCCTGGAGTCGCCGTACAGCCACTAAGTGGCGGGCGGCCAAAGTGGTGTTTCCATTGATGGCCAGCTGAGGAGAACCGCGCCGTATGGCGTCGTCCTTGACAATGACCCGTTCGGCGGCGCGGCGGCCGAGAGGGCGGCCAGGTCGGCGCGCAGAGGAGCTCCGAATGACCCGGCACCACGCCTCGGATCCCAGTTATGACACTGGTGCCCCAACGTTGCGCCACGCTCATTATTGAGCGCCACACCGCGAGACGACGTCTCAGTGATCGGCACCTCGGCCCCATGATGGGCCCGCCGCCCGGCCGATATGGAGCCCGGCGCGAACTGTACCGGAGTGCGGCCAGAGAAAACCATCCGGCGTCGATATGGGCGAAATGTTCAGTGGTTGCGTAAATCCGATTCCATGAAAGTGATTTGAAATGGCAAGACATGTTTGCTATCTTCATATCAAGTGTTTGTGCAAGGCTTCGTCTAGAACTGCTAGCCCCAATTCCATATTCTCATTAAGAGGATTCTCTCACTTGAACCGCATTTGTGAAATTCGTTTCAAATGGAGCATACCATATCCATGGCCGATCTCTGACCGCATATTGAGGGTTGCGTCCCGACAGTCCATAATTGCAGAATGCACGGCACACGGTGCATCTGATCTGCAGCTGATCACACTGGGAGAGAAGTCATCAAAGTTGCAGACAGGCAGCGCGACGTAGGTAAGCTGGTTTTCACACGAGGCAGCAAAAACCATAAGACAAATGTCACAGGCAGCAGATTTAGAGTGGTGCAGACGGGTTTGTTACAAAAGCCTCATTAGCTGTTCTAATTGTCAGGGTTTTAAGATTTGACGGCAATAACGAGACATTCTATCTTCCTTCCCTTTCGTTGAAGATAAACAACATTTCCACTCATTTTATTGTTTCTTTGCGTATCCCATTCAGTGAAATATACCAATTAGTTATAAATCAAGGCAAGAGCAAGCAGTCAAATGGATGCAGGTCAAAGTTCGGGGCCGGTTTTCCTTTCAGATGTGCTAAATTAATGAAGGGAAGAATAGCCCATTGAAACGTGGATGAGCGATATACAGAATCAGACATCAATCTTCATACATGCTTAGCGGACCTCCCCTTCCTTCCTCTCCGGAATGAAAAAGGACCTGAGTGGGTGCGCTGTGTCCGTCATATCAAATTTGACGCATAAAAAAGACCCCGCCTAAAATACTCACCAAAGATCTGCTGCATTTATTTTCTCCGTATGTACATACACTACTGTCTGTCGTCGCTTCACTTTTTCTCGTAGTTAACTTTACTCCAAATCAATGTAAAAACATTTTCGGAACCAGCGCAATCATCTGTGAGTCAACTGCAATGCAAGTTTTCCAGATGACTGGGATATTGTTGCAAAATATCCAAATGGACCTAATTACCGGGCTTCTCAAAAAAGTCGGACGAATTTCTTTTGCGAATGGAGGACCCTTAGCAACATTTAAACAAAATAAAATACACGTGGAAAGAACAAGATTTTTTTCAGAGATTTACATTATGTCATACTTGCTGAGTTGCAAGCTGAGTTGCAAAAATGAAGCCGTGGTCTGAAGACGCAAAAACAAAAATCGTACAATTATACTTTGAGACTACATAAGTCGGTCGTTTCGACACAGCGAAAGTTCCGAAAACACTTCAAGGTCAAAAAAGGACCGTCCCGAAACGTAATTTTGCATATTGTTGCCAAGTTTCTGGCTCAGGGAAATGTCAACAATCGGTTCAAGGGACGCAGCGGCCGCAAACGCAGTCGAAGAACCCCTGAGAACATCGCTCGCGTGAGAGATGCGTTACAGCGAAGTCCCAACAAGTCCATGCGCAGACTCGGACAGGAAATCGGATGCAGCCTCGCTGCAGCACACAGGATGGCACGAGTTGACGCGAAACTCTTCCCGTACAAGATTTCAATCCACCAGACTCTGACCGCAGCCCACAAGACTGCTAGAAAACGCTATTGTGCGTGGTTCGTACGGATGTGCGAACAGAATCCGGACTTTGTCAACCAAGTCTGGTACAGTGACGAAACCCACTTTCATCTGGATGGCCAGGTTAATAGCCAGAACTTCAGATTTTGGTCCGGAAAGAAGCCCGACGTGGTAGCAGAGGCGCCACTGCACTCACCAAAAATCACGGTTTGGTGTGCCATGAGCAGCAGGGGCGTAATCGGGCCCTACTTCTTTGAAGATGGAGGTGGTGACACACAGACTGTCACCGCTCAGCGATACCGGGCGGTCCTGACAAAGTTTTGGAGGATCCTGCAGACCAGACTGAGAAGAAATCCAGAAGCACTAAGGTACCAGTGGTTTCAGCAAGACGGCGCCACAGCCCATACTGCTCAAGAAAATCGGGAGTGGCTGCGGGAGCGCTTCGGGCAGCGCGTTATCTCAAGGTTTGAGACGCACCCGTGGCCGGCATGCTCCCCGGACTTGACCCCACCGGACTTTTTCCTGTGGGGTCACCTCAAGTCCCAGGTGTACCAGAACAACCCAAGAAGTCTTGAAGAGCTCAAGGACGCAGTGAGGTCGGCGGTGCGCCGCCTGCCGCCCTCCGTGTGCCGTGCTGCGGCAGAGGCCGCGCTGCGCCGGGCCAAGCTCTGCATCGATCGAAACGGAGCCCATCTCGAACATGTCATCGGTGCGGCTCAGTGAGGCAACCGCCGACGGTTGAAAAGCCCTCAAACAAAAGATCTTTGATCAGGCTTTCAGGTGGTGCCTTATTCACTTTTGTATCACTGATATGCCCTGAAATATATGAATTACAAATTCGTCTGACTTTTTTGAGAAGCCCGGTATTTGCATTACAACTGTTTTTAGGCATAGAACACGAAAGTTTTGATGTTACGCTCAAAGCCGCGCACATCGTGTGTAGAATAAACTATTAGGTATAAAATAGTTAGTTATGAATTTTAGCATATGCCGAAGTATGCCTTTAGCATTAGCGCGAGCGTGCGGTAAAAGCTTTTTGGATTAAACCGCATAATGTTGAAGGCAATTGGCCAAAGGTTTCGGCCCATGGGCAAAACATTTTATCAGCGAACTTTTGAAGCATTTCCTGAGACGGAGGAAGGCGCTGGAAAAGAGCTTAACTGATAGAAATCTAACGTGAACTTACGTGTTGCCAAGGCCATAGAAACTACCGTGTTGCATTTGGTCGCTTTGAACTATTGAACAGATTGTAAATGTTGGTTTTCAATAAGATAATATTTTAAATCCTAATGTACAGACATATTAATTAATCATCTACATTTATGGCGTCAATTTCATGCATTTTACAACTGCAATGAATTGACAAAAAACGCATTTCACATTGATCAGTAAAAACTTTATTCATACTGACATGGGTAAAAAACCAAGCGCTCACTTCACAGGATGGTATACTTTCCACTCTTCTCTAATATTGAAAACGAACGTTACTCTAGCTTCTCATATGACAGATTGAAATAGATGTTCTTGGTTTGATATGAATCCAACTCAGAGCCAGACACAAGGATGGAACACAGTGATCTTCAGTCGGCTTGGTTTATTATCTTGGTCAGGGAATATGTACATTTTTTAGTTCTTGATATTCGTTCTTGGTTTTTTTTTCACTTCTTTCAAGCATGTACAATTGTTAAAGAAGCTTAAATATGGAAATTAAACGGCATATGCTAAAATAAATATCACACTTGGGCCGGAATGTTTCATTCAGGACCTCGGGCTTTGTTGAATTTTCCGCCCTCGACCTTCGGTCTCGTGCGGAAAACTCAACAAATCCCTCGGTCCTGAATGAAACATTTTACCGGCCCCGTGTGATATTATATAATAATACAATGTTTACTAGATCGTTTGGGCATGGATGAGAAATGCTACTACCTCTCTGAGCAGAGATGTGGTTAGGTACGAGATTATATAATATCACACGGGGCCGGTAAAATGTTTCATTCAGGACCGAGGGATTTGTTGAGTTTTCCGCACGAGACCGAAGGTCGAGGGCGGAAAATTCAACAAAGCCCGAGGTCCTGAATGAAACATTCCGGCCCAAGTGTGATATTTATTTTAGCATATGCCGTTACGTTTAATTTCCATATTTAAGCTTCTTTAACAATTGTACATGCTTGAAAGAAGTGAAAAAACCAAGAACGAATATCAAGAACTAAAAAATGTACATATTCCCTGACCAAGATAATACCTAAACCAAGCCGACTCAAGATCACTGTGTTCCATCCTTGTGTCTGCCTCTGAGTTGGATTCATATCAAACCAAGAACATCTACCTATTTCAATCTATGTCATATGAGAAGCTAGGAGTAACGTTCGTTTTCAATATTAGAGAAGAGTGGAAGGTATACTATCCTGTGAAGTGAGCGCTTGGTTTTTTACCCATGTCAGTATGAATAAAGTTTTTACTGATCAATGTGAAATGCGTTTTTTGTCAATTCATTGCAGTTGTAAAAGGCATGAAATTGACGCCATAAATGTAGGTGATTAATTAATATGTCTGTACATTAGGATTTAAAATATTATCTTATTGAAAACCAACATTTACAATCTGTTCAATAGTTCAAAGCGACCAAATGCAACACGTAAGTTCACGTTAGATTTCTATCAGTTTAGCTCTTTTCCAGCGCCTTCCTCCGTCTCAGGAAATGCTTCAAAAGTTCGCTGATAAAATGTTTTGCCCATGGGCCGAAACCTTTGTCCAATTGCCTTCAACATTATTCGGTTTAATCCAAAAAGCTTTTACCGCACGCTCGCGCTAATGCTAAAGGCATACTTCGGCATATGCTAAATATCACTATATCTCGTAAGTCGCATCCATATCTTAGGTGAGATACTGCGCCGCATGTCTCGAGTTAGCCTTCTGTGGGAAAATGCAGTCTCCGTGAGCTGTATGCCCTTGTCCATTTTGTTCACAGTCAGCATTTATGTTGATGGACGGCTCTATAACATCCGGCGCATAACCTTGCAAGGACAGCGACCACACCACGATGGGTCCAGGGGTGACCTGCCTGAGGGTTTACCTACAGTGACGACGAGGTACCGTCGGTCGTGACAAACTCGTCATCGAAAACTGGAGTGCCGCTAAACTGTACGTAGCTGCTGAAGTGCTTAGATGAACGAAATATTTGTGTGCGTAGCCCGCAGGCACAGCTGAATGATCGACCGATTTGAAGCAATTGCTTGAAATGTGGTTCTTAATGTTCCCCTTCGTCCTAAAAAAGCTAGACGTTTGATTTACCTTGCTATGCTTTACAGATTTACAGAGAAACGGTTGTTTCACTTTTTAGACTTCGCTGAATCATCCGCTTTTATGATTATACCTAATCATCAGCTATCATAATGGATGTGTTATCTCATTGACCGATGCTGAGCAAAAAGAATGCTTACACAGTTAAAGTTGCATTAAATATTAACATTATTGAACTACCCAAGTATTTTATCAACCGTGATGCGAAATCGATAGGTCAGCATTGTCATCGAAATCCTTCGCAACTGCCGCATCTTATTTCATGCCGACCGGCGACACGAATCAAGGACCATCACCGTACTGGACACCACTCAGCAATCCACCTTTATCATCATGTTGAACCCGTCGGTGTTGGGTTACACGATCCTACCTGTCAGCGGTATGCCGCTCCGGCTCCTCAGAGGTCGGACGCGGACGGTGTCGGACGGTATCACGTCCCTGGGAGTCTGGCCGACTCCTGTGTCCGCGGCTCGTCACTGTCCCTCCAGTCGCGGTGGCGGCTCGGTGGCCCGCACTGACAGCGGCGCGTCTGTCCCTCCGTCCGTCCGTCCGTCCGCACCTGTCTGCGCGACGACCCCGACTGCCGCACGGCGCGGCGGCGGCGGCGACGGAGGCGACGCTCCCCGCCCCCGGGCCGGCCGGCCGGACAGACCATCCCCGCCGCCCGCTCCCGGAACGAGCTGCTTTCCTGGTCCGTGACGCTACCAGCTCCGCTCGTGATCCAAAACGGTGCCCCGGAGAGGGACTTTACGTGCCGTCGGCGGTGTTCTGGGCTGTTCTGTCTGCGGCTGACTCAGGACGACGGAAAACGCGGCGACAAACCGTCACAGACAGCGGGTGGACGACGAGCTGATCGTCAGCCCGTCGATAGGGCTGTCGATCTTTAGAAGACATTGGATTACAAAATGCAAGACCTGTTACATTTGCCTTAATTCTTTTTTTACAGCTTTTTGATTTGATTAAAATAAATTATTTAACCATTCTTAGCCCCTATGAAACAGCACAGGAGAGTTATATCCAACCGAAGCGGGAATGGTCACGCAAGTTTACATGATAAATCGATACATATCGATGCCTATGAGTACGTACCTAGTATGTATGGCACTAACCACGAGAAATGCCTTGTGAATACCTTGTGTGTTATTTCGTGTGAAAGTGATGTGTACTAACTAGCTCTCAGACGGTTGACTGATGCTTCAATGTAAGCAGGATTGCACAATGTCTTCCAGTTATGAGGTGTTATCCGGCACCACATCGCCACGCTCTTTCAGAAATCCTTAGACCGCAAGTCTCACTCACCTTTCTTCCCAATTAGGACGGAGAACGAATTATTGCATGCTTGTTCCTGTGTCACAGAACAGTGCTCATTTTGCATCGCTTAACCCGCGACCTGGTGGGGGGGGGGGCTATTTTTTGCCCCCCCCCCCTCCAGACTTTTCGCTATATCTCCAGAACCGCTGCGCCGATCGTCACCAAACTTTCAGTACCCTCCCGGACATCAATTTTACACATTGCGACCAAAATTTTTTTCCAAAGGCTATGATAGGTTGGCCGGAAATGACGTCAGAGTGACATCATGTTCTGCCGTTTTCGACCCAAAAAAGGGTTTGCAGGAAGAGCTGTCAGGCCTAGAGCTTTGCAAATACAGAAAAATGATAAAGACATAAAAGCTGTAGAATCGACAGGGCTACAAAACTGCTATCTCGGATTTTTGAAATTTTTGGATTTTGACCCCCAAAAATCAAAAAATAATTTTTTGGATATAATAATCGAAAAATCCAAAAAGTTTTTTTTTGAATTTCGCAAAAACCGGAATATATGTGATAGTCCTTACCGCCTTCCATCCACATACCACATTTGAGATTGATACCTCTTTTTTTGGCGAAGTTATAGCGAAAAAAAAACTGTTCAAAATTGATGACGTCAAATTTTCAAACTCAATTTTTAGCAATTCTAGACCCCGTAGCGCAAAACAAAAACCACCATTAGACTCCCCGTGACGAGCTGCATCGAATCAATACCCATTTTATGCAAAACTATCAACTTTAAATTTGACCTTTTTTGGCCTGACCTTGACCTGACCTTGACCTGAACTTCACCAGAAAGTGACCTAAGCCGTACCTACCTGATAGTCTTATAACCAACCGAATTGAGTTGGAAATGAAAAATTGGCCATAAAACATGCAGCACACAACCTTAGTAAAGTTGGGCTCATGTGACCTGACCTGTGACCCTTGGTGACCTGACCTGTGACCTGACCTGGTATTGTCAGTGACCTCTAATAGCAACATATCTAGTAGGCAACTGACGCCCTATCGGTGATTCTCGACAAAATGCGTTTTCCTCGGTGTTATAGCGCATTCCCTAGAAGACCCGTGAACGGTGAAACATTTCATCTTTGACCTGACCTGTGACGTCATCGGTGACCCCGAGGTCAATGAAATTAGGTTTCATTCGACAAATTTGACAGGCCTTTCGAACGCCGTTTGAATTTTGCGGATCCGTCCAGTACATAGTTTCGGAGATACGAGGGGGGCAAAAAAATAGCCCCCCCCCACCAGGTCGCGTTATAAACAGACCCCACCAGGGCGCGGGTTAAAATACAGACACCACACGTACAGGGTGTAACGAAATTATCCGGACATCTATTTTTTCGCCATATCTGCTCGCACAGTTTCTCTTTTAATGTCAGAAGCTGGAAAATTGGATGAATGCATACCTCTGGTATCTGCTCTCAACTCAGCAGTGATCTGACCTTGCGAAATGACTCTTGCTCTGAGTAAGAGTCGAGTCGCCGACGGGTTCATTTGATAGTTTTCGTTTAAGGCAGTGGAGAGAAAGGAGCACAGTCTCTCGTTTCGTAGTAAGGCTACGTGTTGGTGGCATGGTGGCATGAGCCAGAAGCTGGTCTGTCAGCAGCTGGACATCAGCAGCAGCCAGTAGCACATCTGCCTGAGGCGTAATAAGCTGGGACTTGGTGGCAGACTCAGCCCGGCCTCGATCGCAAAAGGCGCCCTTTGCCAAGTGGTGAGGAGAGTTGTCAAGATAGCGACAAGGAAACGGCACCAATTAATCCGCATACTGACTCGAATTCTTACCAAGGTAGATAATAAGAGGTCCCACATCATGATTCACCGTTACCCGCCCTTTAGCTTGGTTTTACTGCCCTTCAAACTGGAAAAGACAATGAAATTGACGGGAAAACAACCAGTCCACCACCTTTGGCTTCAGGCCAGGGCGTGTCCACTGGTCGAAGGAAGACACGAATGAGGTGACCTGGTCGGATGGGAAGCTGTTCGAGCTGCGATACCCGTTGAACCGTCAAATCGGCCATGTGTGGGCTGCCAGCAGCTCGAATGTGCCGGCCGTCGCCGGCGTCAAACAACCGGCCAAAATCCAGACCTGGAGCATGTTCAGCTGCTGTGTAATATTCAAGCTGTTCATGACGACACAGAAAACCACTATCAGTGACGAGTATTACCGGCGCAACATCCTGGCTAGCGATTGGTTGGAGCCACTCAACCAGACGGCACAGGATGGCTCGGTTTCTGAACGTGTACCGATACCTGATTCAAGCCGCGCAGTCTTCATACGGGGCGGCGCACCACCTTCAAGTCCCTAGCAGAATGAGAAGTGATGCCGAGAGGACCTTTTTGTTCTTCTGGGCTAAAGGGCTATGGCTTGGAAATAGTTCCCATGCAATTCCGTCGATATATTATGGACTATTGTCCATCAGGAGATGAATGAGGGGACACCCGCCACCAGCGCCGCCCAACTGCGGGCACAGGTTAGTAAGGCGCTACTCTATATGAAACCCACTGTGCTGGAAAATCCAGTGGCTGGAATGCTCCAAAAATGTGTACCTGCGCTCTTATGAAAGGTGGCTATATAATAATTCAAAAGGGAAAATATCAGAATGTCTTGCTTCTTAATTACAGCGCGAAGAAAGATGTCCGGATAATTTCGTTACACCCTGTATTTATGAACCTGTTCATTGCCCGGGCCAGATTCAGGAACGTTTGAGCTATTGACTATTAGGTATAGGTGTAAATATCTCTCGGACAGCTACATGCCCCTCCAGTGTCAACAGTATTTTAGCATATATACAATATACCTACATGTCTTTCGTATCTACATCTGTTTGTAATTCCAAATAAACTTGTTCAGGTCAACCACTAATAAATGGGTTTCAATAGGTCGCAATATTTCGAGCTTCATTAGACTCTATTTCGCCACATAATTGATGCAACTGCAACTACAAACAATCTTTATCCTGTTGCTCGCTCTGCAATAGGTGCCAATTAAATCAAAACTGTTAGCGATCGGCGGAAAGCTGATGTCACCCTCCGGCGTTGAGCGATGACGTTGCACCGGGCGCCTGGCCTTGCCCCCGGCACCGCCGCCGGTGGATCCGGCTGAGACGCCGTACCGGCGCGCATCTCTCGCCGGACGCATCGCCGTCCGATGGAGGTATCGTGCATCGCGAGCGGAGGAAATACGAGATGTCTAGGCCCGGGGTGCCGCAGACAGCGGGGCCGCCGCCGGATGGGGAGGGAGGGGGGGGGGGACGTCCGCTCGGCCTGCTGACCCGGTCGGAAGGAGGGGAGGCGCCCAGTCGGAGGGGAGGCGTGGGAAGGGGACGGAAGACAGGTGCCCCAGACAGGTGGCCGGCGCTGCTACCCCGGTGGCCTGCATATCTGTTTCATAGTAAAACCACCTTTTATGCATGATAATACGTTTTATGTCCATGAATTGCCAAAGCTTCGCCTAGTTGCCCTTCATTAGTGACTAAAGCTACTAAGCATTGACCGTGCATTATAATTCAGGAGTACCTTTCCCAGCGCACTAAAAGCGAGGCATGTCGATCGCACGTTTCTAGCTTTCGAAGGATGGCTATCCATGCTTCCTCTAGTCAAAGTAGGTAAGCCGTGCTTATCTACCTGAAGCAATATGCATGGTTGTGCTTCCGTCCATCGCTCGTTAATTTCGCATTGATACCCATGTGTTCCACCCACTGGACTTTTATTACACTAGCTTCACTTACTGGCGGGGGTAAGAAGGGGCGCACGCATTTCGGGCACTTGCCCCTCGGGCCTCGCGCATTACCTATCCGAAATTGTTGAGATTTATCTTTTTTCTCGCATTACAAGAAATCTGAACAACTTTGATGAAGAAGTTTGCGTTAAACTGCACCATATCTAACACATTAAAGAAGTGAGACCCGAGGAGTTTTTGGAAATAGAATAACCTTTTTGGGAAAAATATCTAACACAGCGTCCCAAACGACCTTTCTAGATCCGCCGATGTAAGTGCCAAGTGGTTCACGGCAGTTGCAGCGCCCGCCCCTGGTGGGCCGCTGATCTCTGTCTGAGGCCGCCGCCGTCACGGCCGCGCGGTACCGAGGCTGGCACGGGGCGGAGGAGCGCCGTCTCACGAGCAGCTCCTCACGCCTCTGCCCTCTGCCCACGGCCGGGCCCGCTCGTGGGTCGACAATCGACCGAACATCTCCTCACGGCACCGCCGCCGCTGAGGAAGCGGCCATCGGACCTGCGTGACCGACTCCCGACGGCCCACGTCGACAGC